GTTAACTTGGAATCAAGTTTAAAATTTGATCAGAAACATAAAATCTACGATTTCAATAAGGCATATTCATTATGATGTTGACACGGAGACACAGGCGACAGCTTACATTGTTTAGACAACGATCTCGATGATGGAGGTGTGCCTACCGAACTTCCGAAGTGCAGTGTTTGTCAGCTGTTTGTGGCGTGATTGCATTACATTAATATTTTCCAACAGTTTTTCAAATTTATTGTGAGTTTAATGAAAAAAAATATAGCATTCAGAGGTCTACAACAAAAACAAGAGGCCCAAGGGCCTTAACGGTCACCTGAGTACAATACAACAATTTAGAGGATCCATAAACTGAAAAATGAAGCTTTGTTGCCCAAAAGCAAGAAAAATAGTATGATTAGCATCAACAAAATAATTGGTCTAGTATCTATCTGCCTATCTGACTTTCCAAGTCATTAAATCTATGAAAGTACATTTTCATTATACAATAAATTATCTTGCATAATTCTCTTATTCTATTAAGCTTTCAAATACATTATTAACATTGATTAATTATCAAAGGTGAATGGCAAAGGGGAATAACTTTGCTCAGCAGAATACAAGTTAATAGAGCCCTGGCCAGGACTAGAACACTTGACTAAATGGTCCAGGTGTTCAAAAATCTGGTAAAAATACCCTTGCATATTAAAACTTTTACTCTGTTTGCCTTGAACATCCCCAGAAGCATAGAAGATTTTCAAAGAAATGCATTTTCACCATAAAATTAAATAAATAAAGCCCCATCCTTACCCAGAACATCTGACCCATTGGACACGAACTCACAATTCTGGAAGAAGCACCCTTTCTCATTATAACTATACACTTGTTTCTTTACTTTATAACCAGTAGTAGAAAAAATATTTTGAAAGAAATTATGCATTTTCACTTTATATAATCAATAGAGCTCTTTCCCCCTCACCAGAACCCCTGACCCAAAGGCCATGAGGCATTCTTCCTTATCATAACCATGTACTTCCTTTGTTTGAAAAATACCCAGGCGCACACAAGATTTTGAAAGAATTCATGCCAATTCCCTATCTAATCAATAAAGCCCCGCCCTAACACCAGAACCCCTTACCCAGAGGCCATTAAATTCATAATTTCTGAGGCAGCCATGCTCATCATAACTATGTACTTAGTTTATTTAATATCCAGGAGCAGAGAAGATTTTCAAAGAATTAATGCAATTTTACTATATAATCAATGGAGCCCATCCCTAACACCAGAACCCCTGACCCAAGGGCCATGAAACAATTTCTGAAAAGGCAGTCATGCTCACCATAACTATGTTCTTAGTTAGTTTATTTAATACCCAGGATCAGAGAAGAAGATTTTCAAAGAATTAATACATTTTCACTGTATACTCAATAGAGCCCTGCCCTAACACCAGAACCCCTGACCCAGGGGCCATGAAATTCACAATTTTGAAAGAGGCACTCTTGCTCATCATAACTATATACTTAGTAAATTTATTTAATACCCAGGAGCAGAGAAGAAGATTTTCAAAGAATTAATGCATTTTCTCTATATAATCAATAGAGCCCCGCCATAACACCAGAACCCCTGATCCTGGGGCCATGAATTTCACAATTTTGAAAGAGGCACTCTTGTTCTTCATAACTATGTACTTAATACCCAGGAGCAGAGAAAATTATTGCAATTCTACTATATAATCAATAGAGCCCTGCCCTAACACCAGAACCCCTGATCCTGGGGCCATGAAATTCAAAATTTTGAAAGAGGCACTCTAGCTCATCATAACTATATACTAAGTTAGTTTATCTAATACCCAGGAGCAGAGAAGAAGATTTTCAAAGAATTAATGCCTTTTCACTATATAATCAATAGAGCCCCACCCTAACACCAGAATCCCTGACCCTGGGGCCATGAAATTCATAATTTCAGAAGAGGCACTCTTGCTCATCATAAATATGTACTAACTTAGTTCATTTAATATCCAGGAGCAGATAAGAAGATTTTCAAAGAATTAATGCATCTTCACTATATAATCAATAGAGCCCTGCCCTAACACCAGAACCCCTGACCCTGGGGCCATGAAATTCACAATTTTGGAAGAGGCACTCTTGCTCATCATAACTAAGTACTAAATTAGTTCATATAATAACCAGGAGCAGATAAGAAGATTTTCAAAGAATTAATGCATTTTAACAATATAATCAATAGAGACCCGCCCTAACACCAGAACCCCTGACCCTGGGGCCATGAAATTCACAATTTTGGAAGAGGCACTCTTGCTCATCATAACTATGTACTAAATTAGTTCATTTAATACCCAGGAGCAGATAAGAAGATTTTCAAAGAATTAATGCATTTTAACTAATGTATATAATCAATAAAGCCCTGCCCTAAACCCCGAAACCCCTGACCCTGGGGCCATGAAATTCACAATTTTGGAAGAGGCACTCTTGCTCATCATAAATATGTACTAAGTTACTTTATTTAATACCCAGGATCAGAGAAGAAGATTTTCAAAGAATTAATACATTTTCACTATATACTCAATAGAGCCCTGCCCTAACACCAGAACCCCTGACCCAGGGGCCATGAAATTCACAATTTTGAAAGAGGCACTCTTGCTCATCATAACTATATACTTAGTAAATTTATTTAATACCCAGGAGCAGAGAAGAAGATTTTCAAAGAATTAATGCATTTTCTCTATATAATCAATAGAGCCCCGCCATAACACCAGAACCCCTGATCCTGGGGCCATGAATTTCACAATTTTGAAAGAGGCACTCTTGTTCTTCATAACTATGTACTTAGTTACTTTATTTAATACCCAGGAGCAGAGAAGAAGATTTTCAAAGAAATAATGCACTTTCCCTATATGATCTATATAGCCCCACCCTAGCACCAGAACCCCTGACCCTGGGGCCATGAATTTCACAATTTTGGTAGAGGACTCAATGCTTATTACAATGATGCCAACAGTTTGACTGCTTGATGTCCAGGAGTAAAGAAGATTTTTAAAGATTGCATTATTTTTGGTGGTTTTAGCCCCACCCCTCAGGCCCCAGGGGGGCAGGGACCATGGAATTCACAATTTTTGTTCCCCTTCACCCATAGGTGCTATATGCCAAATTTGGTTGAAATTGGTCAAGCGGTTTCAGAGAAGAAGCTAAAAATGTTCAAATGTTAACACACGACGCACACCGCACGACGCACGACGCACGCCGACGGACGAGAACGGATAGCAATAGGTCACCTGAGTGACTCAGGTGACCTAATAAGGGTAAACGTTGAGTCTATGCAGCTCAGAGATGAAATTTATAACACGTAGTTTTCTATTCTCTATGTAAAATCGATCAAGAACTGTATTAATTACTCGTTTACATTGTAAATAAAATGATTATAATTTCACTTGGGTATTTTGAACATTTTTATGCATGAAAAACATGCTATATTTGCTAAGTAGAGTAAGTCTTTAAATGTAGATATTACTGCGCTGTGTGATTAGGTCACGTGATGACCTATGACCTTCGAAAAACTTCATACAGGTATGAAGATATTAGCTCTCTGTATGTTTATATAATAGAGATACCACAAATGTATATATTCTGTAATATACGCCATGAATTTATCATTGTGCAAATTTGCGAGAAACACCTTTCGACAAAGTGGAATGGTTATCCAAATCGATTTAAATTGTCTAAAAATCTAGTTCAGGGAATTTGTGTCCACCACTTTAGGGAAAAAGAAAAGGGTAAAAGACCTGAAAGAAATACAGATGGAGAACGAAACAAAGGTTGTCATTAAAATTTCAGTTTTTGGCCTTGAAGTCAATAGGGGTCTTTTTTTTTTTAAAAAGAAATAGGGGTCTATGACCTTAAGTTTCATTGCAAAAGCTAACAAAGAACTAAAGGTATCACATGAAAACTATGTATGCAATATATGACTTTCTAACACTTTCATTCCAGGTGGTATCTTTAAAAGCCTTTGAGCTTTTGCAATGAAATTTTATATCATAACTTCTTATGACCTAAAGAAGACACCCCCCCAATCAATTGTGAGGTCAAAAGCTCAGGTAAGAAATTCATACATTGCAAATAACAGTTTCGAGATGATAACTTCAGTTTTCTTTAAGCTTCTTTTGAAGACATTTTATTTCACAACTCACCATGGTCTAAAAAGACCACTTTTTAATTTTCGCTGAAAGGATCAAAGGTCAAGGTCAGAGATTCATATATTCTATCTGTTTGTGACACTTTCGTTTCTGGACTATATCTTAAAAAGAATGTAAAAAAGCCTTTAAGATTTTGAAATTTTATAATGCAAATATGGCCTTAAAAAGACCTCTATTGATTTTAGCTCAAAGTCAAGGTCAAAAATTTATATATTGCACGAAATGGTTTCCATATGATAACTTAAGTTCTCATTAAGCTTTTTCAATGGATAAATATCATAACTCCTTTTGACTTAAAAATCTTTTGATTTTTTGGTCAATAGGTCAAGGTCAGAAATTCATACTATGCACAAACTTTTTTCTTGAGCTTTGTCTATGAGATTTGATACCATAACTCCCAATGACTTAAAGAAGATCATTTTTGATATTTAGGTGAAAAGATCAAAGTGAAAAATTTGTAACTTGCATAAAATGGTTTTTCTCATGATATCTCTACTTCTCTTCGAAGTTTTGCAATGATTTGTTTTATTTTTAGTCAATAAGAATTAAAAAAAAAGACTTCTATTAATTTTTCGGTAAAAAGGTAAATCATCAGGGTCAAAGTATAGTTTTCATTTGATAACTTTAGTTCTCTGTAAGCATTTGCAATTAACTTCATTTCATGAATTTCTTCATCTGAAAAAGATCTCTGGTGATTTTAATGTCAAAAGCTTAAAGATCAAGATTGACTTTATTCCGTTTCTTCATCTGCATATTTTTCCCATGCAGTTCTTCTACCTTCTTCTTTATCCTTAGGCTGGGGACACAAATTCAATGAATAAGCTTGTTTCTGAAATATTTTAATCTTGTACTTCACAAGTGTGTGTCCAGAGGGACCTGACCTCCATTTAATGTCCATCAGAGAATGTCAAGGTCAAAGAGACACAAGTTTTGAACCTCCTTTAAACAGTTTTCATTAACTAGATGCCAATTATTTGTTAACTGCAAAACAACAATTTATATAAAAACTTTATTCTTTTTTTAAAAAAATATGTTAGCATAACAATAATATACAAAGGGCAGGGCATTACACTGCTGAACTGATCTTGAAGTTCCCATCTCAATAAGTCTTCATTGTTTTTATGACACAGGATCAGTTTCACCATAAAGCTTTAACCACAGGTTAACCAGATAAGCGATCCTATTTGGACATAACAACACTTCAAATAGGTACATCACAATTTGTTCCATTTGACTCTTCATTGGTCCCTGAAAGACTTTAAATATCATCAATGGCATGCTGGGAGAAGGAAGGGATTCTGGGAATGGTTCATGTCGTCATGAAACAGAGGATTGCGTTTCTCCCTCTTCCTCTTCTACAACCTGGAACTGGGATACCCACTCTTCTGGCTGTTTTTCGTATAACTGGAAAACAAAAATGGATATATTCATGTCAGAGTCTTCTACAAAGTATGTATACAATAATTTTGTGTTGCATTTTTGTGTTAAACTTTCAATTCATGCCCTTCAGCAATATTTGTAAAGATTTTTATTACTCTGCCCTTTTTTTCATTTTTTTAGACAACAGTACCATAATATAAGGAGAATATCCTACACATACAATTTCATCAGTTCTAAGTTCCATTAGGCCAAAAAAAATAATAGTCTTGTTTCCTGCTACCAACCTGAAAAAAAATAGGGTAGGTAGGTAGGAAAATTATTTTATTTTTTAATTTAATTTTATTTTTTCCAACAGTATTTTTGGATAAGAACTAATATAAACCAAATTAAACATGTCATAGGTCAATATTATCTTTTAAAATTAAATCTAATGTCTTTTGATGCACAACTCAAGTGGTATTTTATGAAAGTCCATATTTAAAACATACAATTTCATGAAATACCACTTGAATATATATTTTTTTCAGTTTAGGAACATGAAATTCCTAAAATTTTTGATTTTTTTTTTCAAAACTATAAATAAAACTGTAGGGTCGGGTGCAAAAAAATAGGGTCGGTCGGGTAGCAGGAAACAAGACTATTATTTTTTTTAGCCTTATTCAAAGACATAGAAGATTTGTGTGATTGTTTCTACTTTATTAATTAACCTATCTCACCTGGCTGACAAAGTCTAGACAATTCCTCTTGGTGATTTCTTTCTTGGCCCTGAACCCCCATCGGTATTCGTACACGGGGGGATCAGAGTTAGGCTGTTTGGTGTGTTCTAAGTATCCCTGTCTGACAAACTCTGTGGTCAACAACTTCTTAACATCTCCAAATACAGCATGAGTATAACTGAAAAATTCATGAAAAATGTAAAATCTACTGGATCATAGATGCATTCCAGCAATAACGTGTTTTCAAAATACTTCTGGTTTTGAAAATCATCTTTGTAAACGTATACAATAAAATCACTTTTTTATTCATGAGAACTTTATTTTCGCTGAACTGCATGAGACAGTCTGCTCGATAAAATTTGATTCTAACATATATTTTTATTATTAAAGTTGACATACAACAATAAAACAAAAACCCGATTTTGTGAAAATTGTGTGGCACTGATAAATGACAAATAACTATCTTGTGGAAATAAAGTGCTCATGAACATTTGGTGATCTACAGTAACTATTCATCATGTGACATTTTATGAACAATTTTTTTTAAATTTATTTATTTATTTTTTATTTATTTATTTTTGTTTGCAAAATAGCTTTGCTATTTCCAAGAGCACTATGTGTCCCAAAATGGAGGTCACATGTATATTAACTGTTATCAAAGGACTTACTCTTGATCAACTCCAAGTTTCTTCAGCATATGGTACAGTTGTGCTAAAACAAATTGTAAGAAATGAAAGGTTACAAAGCTCATCTCAACAAATGTCATCTAAAAGGCAGACAAAGTTTCCTATCAAATAAATGTTTAATACCATGCAGTGGTTAATTCTATTGTTACTTCTTTTATTTACACACCTGGGAAATATAGAATCTGAGGCATGAACACAGCAGAATGAAACAGGAAGATAATGAAACAGTAATCAAGCTCGAAAGTCCACTGAAAGACTACAAATTCGGAACAGAGCAAACACAGGACCTCTAGAAACATCAGAGGAGGAATCAGGTGCCATGGAGGAGTAAGCATCCCCTGTCGACCGGTCACACCAGCCGTGTCCTCCTTGCAAGGCTTTCATAAAGATTAGACACAGGTGGTACTTTTACAAAAATAGGAGGTACCTTGTGGAAGCAATTTTAAATAGATACATGTATGTTAAAATGAGACACTTTTTTCTTTGTCTGAAAATTAATATCTGGCAATTTAGCCATTGCCTACCCATCTTGGTATCAGGAATCATTTATTACAAAGTACATAACTACCACATTATGTACATCGAGAAAATAAATCACTTATCAATAGGGGTGCAACGATACACTAACCTCACGATACGATACGTATCATGGTATTCAGTTCACGATACGATACGTATCACGATACATGACAAGGTTAAAAAGTCTTTCAAGTTTGTATCATATTTTTTTTAAACCTTGACAGGGTTATATAAAATGTTCATATTTTTCTAATAATGATTAAAATAAAATTTTGTTAACTTGAATTGGATTGTTAGGTAGATCTTTGAGTTTTGACAATTTTCTAAACCAATGATGAACATTTACAGGGAACTACGGGGACCTTTCCTAATAATCTTCCTTTTAAATTGGAATGAAATAGGAGTTGTCATATTTCTCATGTTAACACGTTTTAGTCAACAAGACAGTGAATTTTCATCGAAATACACAGGTGATGAAATATCGTGTATTACCAAAGAATACGTTTAGATCTAAAGGGTTTATCATTAGTCTTAACATCTATAACTTATAATTACATTAAGTCCTTCTCCGTGTTAAATCTGAGGTCTGTAAGATGCTGGAGATGAGTTTAACTTCCGTTAATGTGTTATCGGCGACCTCACGTTTTGCGCGGAAGCCATTTTGAAATTGTAAAAAAGGAAACAAAACGGACGATTCGGATAATTCTGGACCGATTGAACCGAACCGCGATATCAGTTTTGCGTATCGTGAATTGAACCGTGGAAAAATATACCGCGATATACCGTCAAACGGTTTATCGTTGCACCCTTACTTATCAAGTTTGTTACTGACTGTCTACAGAATTATATCAATTGATCAATCTCATAGATGGCCAGGATTTGATTCACTGTCTATGGGATTGATCAACCCAGTACATTTTCATAGATAGTCAGTAACAAACCCAATACATAATTATGTCAGATGCAACAACCAAAGCATGGATGGACATATGTATCTCTTGAGTGCAGGTAGGGCTTAAATACTCCTACAAGATATATCTGCTTCACACACTCTAAGCTTGAGACTCATCTCGAATAAAAGTCTGAAGCATCACCAGTAACATGCAAGCTAGAAGCATCATCCATGCAAGTTTTGTTCAGGTAGAGTTTCTTGAAAACTAACCCTGCTCCAAAACTTTAACCTGAGACACCAATGCTAATGGTATAGCACAAGCTCGTATCAACTTTGTTGAAATGAGCCAATGCACAGTATGAATTTCCTTAACAAAATGCTTTGTGAACAGAATACTTTTAGGTTAAAGTCTACAACAAAAATTTAATGTCATTTCAATTTTGAAAATGCCCCTTACATTTTACTGAAAAATGTGTATCCTCTCATCAATAAATTGTGTTATATGAAAAGCAACCTCTACAGAATATCAAAGGAAAGAATGTACTCAAAATCTATCAAGACTTCACCATTCATGAATGTACTCACAATCTATCATGACTTCACTGCTCAAAAGTATCATGATTTCACAATTCAAGAGTGTACTCACAATATATCTTGACTTCATCATTCATAAGAGTACTCACAATCTATTATGACTTCACTGTTCATGAGTGTACTCACAATCTATCATTTCACCATTCATAAGTGAACTCATAATCTATCACAATTCTACCTTTTATCTATCTATCACAACTCTACCATTCATGTGTACTCTCAATCTATTATGACTTCACCATTCATGAGTGTACTCACAATCTATCATGACTTCACCATTCATGAGTGTACTCACAATCTATCATGACTTCACCATTCATGAACACAGCACTAAGCACCACCATCAGAAGTCCAGTTCTGGCATGGTCATCCTCTGACCACTCCACTGGGGTCAGACTGAGGCCAGGGACCTGCTCTAACTGCTCGTCCACATCAGTGTCCAGTGTATTGACCAGTATGTATGTTCCCTTCTGTTTGTCCTCCAAGCTGACCAGCTCTATCCCAAATATCTAAAATGGTCAAATGTGTACATGTTACTTACTTCACCTTGCAACATTGCTGTGTAAATCGTTAAAAAAAAAATACTTTATTTCAAGACAGTTGCTCAATCTGTATGACTAATACTATTCTTCATTGAAATTTACAGTAGATGATTGAAAAATGAACATTTCTAACTGTTGCCTGGACTCATAACTATGACATTTTATTAATACCATAAAATATACTTGTTTACAAACAATTCCTCATGAACAGTCAGTCATTCAAACTTTTGAAATTGATTTTGACTGTGTATTGGGGCAGCATCAAGAACATAGAGAACTGCCCATTTTTTGGTGAATTCTCTCAGGGTAAGAAACTGATGAGTTGTGCTAACAGAACTTTGTGAGGGAGACAAAGTCTACGGAGATATTTTGATCACTTTTTTAAGAAAGATGAAGAAACTGACACTACCTCTATGTTAAACTACTTTTTTTACCAAAAAAACCCACCAGGTACCTAATCTTTTCTGGAAATTGTTGGGTTCCCTATTTTGTTTGAAGAATTCATGAAAAAAAATTCTCTGCCATTTTTTTGGTGTGTTACCTACCTTTTTCAATTTTTCCTCAGCTTGTTTGATCATCACTGGGAAAGCCTTGCTATGTTCTTTAAGTACTTGCTTATTAATATCTGTAATATTTAATATGAAATTCAACGTTCAAGCATATGTAATAAATGTATCCGACTCTGAAGAAAAAAATGAGGACAGACTAATTAAAATTCAGATTTTGAATATCTTGATTTTTATTTAATGAATCTGTTTTAAAAGATGCAAGTTTGTAAAATGTTCCAATACAAACACATGATGAAAATTTTGTTTTATTTTCAAAATTATTTCAAAATAAAGTTATGCTAATTTGAAATGTTGACTTTAATCTGTTCTCAGTTTATGGTCTAAGAGGCCTGTATGGTGAAACTGACAAGCTTAAAGCAGATAAGATCATGAGAGTTCAATAATTTTCATTTCATCATGTTTTTTTTTTCAGAATTGTTATGATAAAACACAAAGTACGAGGGCTGTTCGAAAATTATTGAGACAATTACTTTAACTCCATAAAGGGCAGAGATAATTTCAGGAAAATTCGTCAACATTTTATAAAGAACGAATGAAACAATTATACAAAATTTCTAATTTAAAGGATAATTAGATAAGTTCCGGTGAAATAATAAACATTCATATGTCTACCGACCTGGATCAGTATCGCTACGTCATTTTAACGTCACTTCAGCCGGAGATGATTTTGCATGTGAAACGATCGGGAAGCGTTCACTCTTCTTTCTTTGTTGTCATAATTATATACCCTAAAAAATCAAACTGTCCCTTTTCTTAAACGATTCTTTAAAAAATGTGTGATGTTGCTTCACTATTGTAAATTTTTCATGCGTCATTTATACAGGATGACTTAGCATCGTGCAGTGCCGATTTATGCAACGCGGGTCAACGTTATTAATTCCGTTACAGTAAGAATTGATGGTCGTCCGGAGCTTTTGATTTTACTGTAGTTGAATTATAGGTTAGAAAAAAATATGTACCAATGAAATACATGTAACAAACCCTTAGACATGTATTTTCTCCCTGTTATTGTTTTAGCAGGTTGGTCAGTCTAGAAAGGAGTTTTACATAGCGCTACACAAAATTTTAGGTCTCTCGCTGCTCCGCCTTGACGTCAAAATCCGTTTTGTCGTCGTTATCAGATTTCTTTACCGCGCTTAATCTTTTAATGATCTCCGTATCTCTGATCACAATTCTAACAAACTTGCACAACATGAAATCAAAATAAAATTAAAACATTTTATACATAAATTGAATTATTTTCGCTCTTATTATAGGTCCACCAGGGTGTTGAACATTGGTGTTCCATATTTTCAATATCTGATTTCGTGACTGCGCCGGGTACCCCTACCATTGACACATTTATATACCATTGAAGAGAAGAAATCTAATATTTGTAAAATATTTCTTGCTTTTATGAATTCTTAATGTTTGTCAAACGTATATGCAAATTTTCATCGAAAGACGTTCATTAGAAAGAAAAATATACAAAATGTCTCAATCATTTCCGAACAGCCCTCATATTTTGTGGAATCCAAGTTCTATTAATAAACTTTCCTTTGTAAATTTGCCATTTAAACATTTACTTAAGGGTTCTATTTCACAATTCCTTGGTCCCAGATCATCTTTGCAATTGATAAAAGGATGTGAAATACTCATTTACTTTAATAAACATGCTATTTTCCTTTGCAATCAAACCTGTAAAGATTACTCAAAGATGATTAGAAGGAGAGTTGATTTACGGTATTTCTTGCCATCTTTTGAATTACTGGTTTTCCAAGCTTTAACATTCTTAGGCCATGGCTTACTGACCTAGTTTTTTAATTGGTAGTTTCTTCTGGTCCATAATCAATAAGAACTGTACGAGGTCATTTAGTTTCTTTTCCTGTTCTCCGCGATCCATGCTGGAGTGGGCCTTTTCCGCCTGTGTCCCCGATACCTGAGAACTTGGTATTTTGTCATTGTCTGCCTATAAGAGTAAATATTTTATATATATTTAGCATCTTTTGTCTGTTGTTACCTATTTTGTTTCCTGAAAAAAAAAAAATTATATTGTAAGTGCCAAAACGATCAAAACTGAGTTAAATGCATATTGTTGGAATCTGCTCCAGGGATTTATCAATGCTGTTCTTTAACTACCGATAAACAACACATTTGGAAACAAGATGTGTTTGTGAAACTCTGTGCACCCGGCGGCAACAAAGTTCAAAAAAGCTATTTTTAGCACAAAGGTCACAGTCAAGGTCACAAGGTCATTGACCTTGGTGTCATTTGAAAGAACTTAATTAGTGGAGTATGCATACCAAATATGAAGTCTCTATCTCCTATGGTTCAAAAGTTATGGCGAAGGTTAAAGTTGACAACAGACAGACAAACAGACAGACAGGACAAAAACAATATGCGCCCCCGATCTATCGATCCGGGCGCATAAAAATGTCAAAATTCTCCTTTTAGTTATGAAATATTTACTGATTAAACATACATGACTGTAACATTTAAAATATATTAATTTATGATGATTCTAGAAAATAACCTTGATTAGCTCTCAGGATGCAGATCTTTTGAACATTTATCTGCAAATCTCCAGAGGGGTATGCCCCTGGACTCCCATATATAGTATGTTCACTTCACTAATGTCTAGCAATTGTTTTTATTCTCCTCCTTTACATGAATAGGGTAGTAAAATAAAATACCTTTAATACTAGATAATTTCCTATGCTCACTGACCCAGAGTGTTGTGTATATCATAACCATATAATATGCTTGTACCTGATAAATGCCTTTCAGTAGAAAAGATGTTCTCAGACATAATGCATTCAATATATGACCAAATTGGCAATTCACTAGTGCTGTAAATATAAGCAGGCATTACTTTAAAATCTAAGATGTTTGTCAAAGTAGTTCAAAGACCTGCAGATTTAAATGTAGATTCATCTAATTTTAATCTTCCAAAGGAATTTCTATTTTAGCAAGTTAACCTGGGTAGTCATTTTATCAGTTGGAAATAAGCTGATGAGCAGGCCTTCCAAAATCTGCCAGTACCTGTTACTTTTATTTGGGCTGAAATCATGATTGTATTGGCCAGAATATTTGATGGAAAAAAATTTGATAACATATTTAAATAAAATCACTTCCACAAGGTACGTCCTATTTTGTAAAAGTACCGACTGTTTCTAATCTTTTTGAAAGCCCTGATTCATTATAGATATTTTGAACTGGTAAAATGATGGCATGAAATTACTCAGATACCTTCCAGTGATCTATCATTTAATTTTCATAATTTTCATTGGCTGAAAGAATGTCAAATGATACTCTTCAATTTCTGATATTGCGTGTTTGCAAAATATAAATCATGACTCACAGTTTATGGACATGCCAAAGTTAGGTAGCACCATGTGACATCATATTAGCTTTTTTACCATTTTGACATCAGGACAGCCAATCAAGTCCCTCACATTTACTATGCTAGGACTTTCAGATTATTCTTTTGGACTAATTATATAATATAACTATTATAGGTCAATATTATACAATTAATTACCCCTAATGAGGTCAACATGGTGAAATAAGGACCCGAGACCTGGCCCACTAGATAACCTGACCTGACCTAGGCTGCGAAGCGGCCAAGGTCAGGTCAGGGAGTGGGCCAGGTCGAGGGTCCTTATTTCATCATCATGTTGAACTCATAAGGGGTAATCAATTGTTTTATCATACCGATATCGGTTAAGACAATTTTTGTAGGCTTAATTACTAAAATAATCAATTGTGTATTAGACCTATGAACTGTTATTATCACTGTTCCATCGGGATCGGGATTCGCTAGTGAAGTTGTTTACTTTTCGCCTGCAAGTCTTGTAAGTTTTTGCACCACTGATTTACTAAAACACTCTGTGATTGTCATAAACATGCATTTTTATAAATTAACAAATACCATTCCAGAGTACAATGATAATCTGGTGCAGACTTTAACTGTATAATAAAAGAGCCGAGTCTGCATTCGTCGAATTTGACATTGTAACGAAAGTTTCAATGAAAACGATAAATTTTATGACGCATCTAAAGGCCAATCATATTCTGTATCATAAAAAGACTATACATAATTTTATATCAGCATTTTTTCTAATGAACTATCATTACTGCATGCATAAATTTTTAATTTGAGTGGAATTTGAATTAACAGGTCATTTTTAGCGTTCATTATTTATAATGACCGGGTGATTATACCCCACATGCAATGATTCCTAGGTCATTATTGCTGTAAAAGATACTTTTTGGAGTCATTATTGAGTTTGAAAGCCTTCTAACAAGCCAATCAAATTTCAGTATTCTTAACAGAGGTATAATAAGTGATTATAAGGACCCATGTAAAGTGATATTGACCTCGGACACAGAAAATGATAGTGACCTCGCAATTAAGCTCTGTTGCTATCACTTTCTGCATTTTCAGTTAATATCATTTGACATGGATCCTTAATCTCTTACAACCACATATCATTTAATTAACTGATCAATCTACACTGAAGTCCATATCTGTATAATTTATTTTCAGGGACCTAGATCTCTGTTTATTTTTTACAGTACACTTTAAATTTTATTATTATGAATTCTTATATTATTATTTGGAACTGACCAAACAACTGTACACTGCATAAATGCAACAACTTTTGGTATGTAAGTTTTTGTTTGTGAGAATTGAATTCCAATACGTTTTAGATCTTTTGTGGGATTAATGTCCATGATGTCCTAGTAAGGATCGATACAGAACAACTGAACAAGTAGTATTTGTCCCCATTAGCATGATAAGGTAGATCTACTTCTATGTAGAAGAAGACTGATACATGAATGTGAACAGTCTATATTATACAGATAAATCTAAATATACCTGCTTCTGTGTTCTTGGCATGATCTGGGTTGTTTTCAATTGGGTATTTTCTCTTTTTACTGATCGCGGGAAACACAAGAAGTTTTTTGTTTAATCTCGATCCCGGTCCTCATGATTATATATTAGTGTATTTCTAATCAGTTTCCGAATTTTAACAGATAAAAATATTATTGCTCTGAATTTTTTCTTCAAGAAAATTTTGTCTGAATCTTACAATAAGGTGAAATTTTGCAATCTTGCGATTTTATTAAAATCGCAAGATTTTTAAACTATTTGGCAAAGCCAAAGGCATCGGGTTTGCTATTCGATAAATTCTCGGTGACTTTCCGACTGCTCGATTCACGTTAACACGAACAGGGCATGGAGGTAAACAATACACAATAAGTAGGTGTTTTGAAAACATCGGGCGATGGCACGACAATCCCTTAAATTAATTCCATAAATTTTATGTAAAGGAAATTCACTTCTTCCCTCGTCGCTTACTTAAAAAATCAACATGCCAGTGAAATATTGGTTGTTTCCTGATGGGAGATCACCTGTTCGAGCGAAGCTTTGGAACTGGTCATCCAACTTTGTGTGTGGACTTGCAGGGGTTGTTTGCAAAGTATATTTAGGTAAGTGTTGTTTACCACCACTTTCTTTGAATGTTGTCAGTGTGTTTTTATATGTAGAAACAAAACAATTTATGCAGTTGTGACGTTGTACATTTCATAGCCAAACTTGTTATTGTTTGTCCAATGGGCTACAAGTGGTACTAGTATTAGAATGGAATGAACCCCTTTGAGCACACTTTTGGAGAATACAATTGAAGTTGCATTGCAAATATTTAACCCTCAATTTAATTATAGATCTTATTCAGCTTTAATCTGTTAATGTGTCTTCAGCACCCCCCCCCCCAAAAAAATAATAATCCACAAAATGAACAAAAAATCAACACAGTATTCTCAAATATCTTTTTTGCACTTTGATTAACTGGGTCTTTAGGACAGTATTCTTTTAAAGATAGATAGTTCTAAATAATTTAAGGTCTATGCATTCTACAATGATATCATAACAAGGAGTATTAAAGTTATTTAGTCAGCTTCAACATATAGTATCTTTAGAAGAAGATATCCATTTTTAGTCAGCAGTAAAATGTACAGTGCCAGTGATAAAGTGCATTAGACAAAATCAAGAATATAGTGTGGCTGTTTTATTTAGCATTATAAAGTGCTGCTGCATACTTATTTGACAAGAGAAAATTATATGTTAAATGAATTAGATTATTCAGTATTGTTTTAACATGTAAATGGACCAAAAAAAATTGTTAAATGAATTAAAATATTTGTTAAATGGACATACAAAGATAATGTCACCTTTGGCACAAGTCCCATGGACGAAAAGAAACAAAACATTGGTTAACTCATGTGTATATAAATCTGATCTGGCATTACAGATTGGTCAAGGTTTTTCTTGTTTTTATGAAAGTGCAAAGACCAGGATAATCATGCGAAAGAATTTTTGCCCATGGGGGGATATTATTGCATGATAGTATTGTTGTACGGTATACATTGTGATTTATTTTTGTACTTATAATCTTGATGATTATTGACTTAAATTTTCCTTGAATTTTTTTTAAAGTTCAACAAAAATATGTTTTTATTCTTAAGTTTTATTTATAATACCTCGATAGGTTTATCTTTTAGATAGTTCAAGAGAATCTTTGTAAACCTTCTTGTGTATTTGCCCAATCATGACATCAAACTATTCACCATGTTCAATGGATGGATTAATTTGTTTAAGTAGATACAAATTTATTTAATTACTAAATTAAATGAATTTAATAAATATTAAAATAAGATCAATGACATATAAGCCTCCACTTCAAAGATATTATTTTATTTGGAATCAATTATGAATTACACATTTTAAATCATGCTATGGAATAATTATGATTAGTCAAGGAATATCTTTTTACACCTTCTTACTTAGTAAATTATTTTTGTTTAGTAAATGACACCTGCATTTGTGTACAGAAGTTAATAAAAAAAATCATGAATGTCCAGATGTCAGAGTTCTAATGTACCTTTCAAAGTTTAATTAGTTTTAAGAGGCATTTATATGTTTGTTGATAATAACTTGATTAAACACATTAAATAATTGTAGCTTTAAAAATGGTCTTTGAAGTGGACAAGAAACTCTTAATATTATAAGTAATGTATACAATACTAATATCAAAACTTGCTACTTTTGTCAATGACATTAATACAACAGTTTCTGCAATGTTTATCTTTGCATTATCAATCTTTTATACAATTTGCTGCCTGCAGTGTAATTGAATAGTAGTAAATGCAAAGTTTACGTGATTGTATGTACAGTTATGCTGCCTATACCTGTTTCTGCACATAGATGAACTTCTTTTTTTGTTTAAGTGACTGAAAGGTCTGGGCCTTGACACAGCAGACACTTTTTTTTTAAGAAAAGAAAAGGTAAACATGCCATAATTATTGGGTGGGAGTGACAAACTTGTCAGAATTGTTTTGTGTGTGAAACCTGATTTTTTTTTTATAGCAACAGAATTACACCAGACAGGCCCTTAAAGGTATAAGGTTAAGGGTACTCTTAAGTCTTCGCTGTCCAGTGTTTATTTGTCTGAATGTTCACCGTCTGGTGATTGCAAAAAATTTTGGACAAAAATAATAGAGAACATAAATATTGTGGTATGTCGGCATATATATTCAATTTCATCTGCAACATTTCATCGGGTGGTTGCAGTTTATGGACGGTGATGTTTGGTATTGAGTTACGAAGTTGATGAATCATTGTACACAATAACTACACATCATGACATGTATATGTACAATAAGACATGTCTAATCAGGATTTTGTGTATTTCAATATCTTGCCTATTTCATATTTTGTTCAGTGAATTCATTGTTAAAAATGTTATCATATAAATCTGGAAAATTTCTATGGATCCAGTGGTGTCTGGATAATAAATTAGTTTTACTCTGTTTGTGTCATTACCATGATCTCTAAGCATTAGTTTTCATGAAGTTCAACTATGAAATAAATAAACTGTAGAGCAACAGTATCGGCATGGGTATGAACTACTCAAGTGTTCCAATCACTAAAAAACTTTCAGGCTGCAGAGCATTTCTTTCTTACACTATATTGGCTTGATTGGAGTAGATTTACAAATTCTTAGATCAGTTAGTTTCTAAAGAAGTGTCAGTAGTAAGTGAAATTTTAAGCACTGATTGAGTGTGGAAAAGAAATTATGAATAACAGGAGATTCACCATTGAAATATATATTTAAAAAAATAAATTAAAATTAAAGAAATTCCCTATTAAAGAAATGCAGAAATGTTAATATGATCAATGGTAACACTGTTGAAATAAAAGTGACACTTCTACAAAATAAATCTTTTCTTCATCATGTTCATATTATCCATGTTTTTATGTTGTGTTTTTGACAATGTTGATGGTAACGTTTATTATGTAGATTTCTAATCATATGGGATGAAAGGGAAAAGATGAATACTATTAATAAAAAAAAATTTACATCATTATTTGTGAAGTTCTTGAAGATCGAGTTATGAATAAAATTGTTTAGTTTCAGTACTTTCCATCTCATTTCATCACATGGATGGATGTGGTAAGAAGAAAGGTCTCACTTAGTTCTAGATCCCTGGAGTAAGGAGTTTATCCCAACATCTGGGGTTTGAATCCCACAGTGGGAAGTGAGAACTTCCTCTTCAAATACGACAGTATACACCAGAGAAAAATGTCACAGTAGATATATTTTGCCGTGAAAAATATCCCTGACTGCTCAATGGCTGTAAGTGCTAAGTACAGGTCTAAATCTGCAGCCTTCTAATGGCAATTGCTGGTGTCCCAAAATGAGTGAAATATTCTCCAAGGGACATAAAGCAAACAAAAAACTTGTAAACATATTCAGTTTCCTCTCTCAATTGCTACATGCAGACTTTGACCTGCAGTGTTAAGGAGGATAATGACCAATGCACATAGAGTCAAACCTAGTTATCTCGAACTTGATGGGACCAATGAAAAACTGAGAGATAAATTCTGAGGATTCAAGGTATTAAGAATAAAATACTTAAAGAATTAGAAGTTGGGACGTCTAGATCACTTTGACATATCCATGGTATTCGAGATATCAGTGATAGAGATAGAGAAGTTCAAGTGTACTTTTAAGGGAGATAAATCTAAATATTGATAATTTACTAAAGTACAAGGTATGGTAACGGTCGAATCTGGCCCCTTATTTGATGTAAAAATCGGAACACAGTTAAAACTGTGATAGTTTGTTGTCAAGAACTTTAAATGATGCTTGTTTTAAAACCAGCACTCATTTTGATTCAAAGCTTTCACGGAGGCCATAAAGGGGTGCAGAAGTGTGAAATTTTCCTGAATTTCCTCAATTCTGGTGGAATTTCGTCAAATCTAAGATACTTTTCACTTCGGGAAACATAGAGCACAAGCTTGCATGTCTGAAATTTTTATACACAAGATGCATCTGGTACTAGTGTATGAAATATATAAATTTGGTAGATAGGCGAGCTTGTGCTCTATGTTTTCTGAAACAAAATGTGTTGTAAAATCAATGAAAATTTATATAAAAATGAGAAAATTCGGAAATTGACATATTTTCTGAACTTCCTGTGACCTCTGTGTATCCCATAACTTAGAACCAATACTCATTTTGTGGTAGGGGTGACAACAGGTTATCATTGATAAACTATTGCCTCATTCTAAAAGACACCCCAAACCAGGGGCCAAAAAGGGGTCTTAGCCTATCTTGTCCTTTATTGTATAAAATTTTCATCTACAACATTTAATGTTTTGTCTTGTATACTTAATAACATAAAGTTAATTTTTTTTTTTAATGTCTCTATCTCTTGCTAGAAAAATGACAATCCATTTCAGTGACCAGTGGGTCATTCGACCATAAGGTGTTCTGTAGATAATTAAATCCCTAATTGACCATTCCTTGATCAGCTCTTGATTGGGTTAATGTCATACTTCAACGCAGGTGTGAAATTTGATTCAAGTAATCCAGTACACTTCAGCTTCAATGAACATTCAATTCAAAATGTTTTTTAATACAAGTCAATGTTTTGTTTGATCTTGTACTTACCATTGTTAAGTATCATTATCAGGTGGGAATGAGGTCTTAAACTGCTTAAGTCTTATTTTTCAGATTATGAAATTTTGTGAAAATAATTCTTTCAATAATAAAGCACAGGCTTGTTAATATTTTCAAATAATTATCGCCATACTTAAGTACTAGAAAATCAGAAATCAGAATGTATCTTTTTTCTTTCTTAAGATTTCTCTCTTTTATGAATTGTTAGTTTAAAAATATGCTGATTCCTGAATATTTGCAATAGTCTCTTTATGAAGAATTTTCCCCTCTTTTTATGTTTTGCTATAAAGAACAATTCTATCTCATTTTTTAGAATAGCCTAAGTATACTTCTGTGTATTTGGTTCAAGTAGTTTGCCCAGAGAGAATGAATTGTAAAACTGGCAAATTTTTCTAGAATGAGATTTACATGCATTACCATGTTTTACCAGTGTAATGATTTCAGGAGGAAATAAAAAGGAAATCAGAAACAAGATGTGTTTTTGAAACACTGATGCCCTTGTATGGCAACTTATAGCAAAGGTTAAACTTTCTCAAGAGCAAATCAAATATGTTGGTACCCAAAGTAAGGTCTTGTCTCAAGGAATATACATGTGAAATATGAAAGCCCTAGCAGCAACCATTGAATAGATATGGAAAAGGTTAAAGTAATTCAAACATCAAGGTCAAGGTCAAATGGTCAAAATTAATGGTGCCTAAGGAAAGGCCTTCTCACAAGAAATATACAGGTGAAATATGAAAGCTGAAGCACCAATCATTCAAAAGTAATGACCAAGGTTAAAGTGTTTCAAAAGTAGGTCAAACTCCAAGGTCAAGGTCAATAAATTACAATTGTTGGTATCCAAAGGAAGGTCTTGTCACAAGGAAAAAACATGTTAAATATGAAAGCTCTAGCAATAACTTTTCAAAAGTTGTATCCAAGGTTAAAGTTTTCGAAAAGTAAGTCACAGTCCAAGGTCAAGGTCAAAGGGCCAAAGTTGTTGGTATCCAAAGGAAGGTCTTGTCACAAGGATCATATGTGAAGTATGAAAGCCTTAGCACCAACGGTTCAAAAGTTATGGCCAAGGTTAAAGTTTTTGAAAAGTAAGTCAAAGTCCAAGGTCAAGATCAAAGGGTCAAAGTTGTTGGTATCCAAAGGAAGGTCTTGTCACAAGGATCATATGTGAAGTATGAAAGCCTTAGCACCAACGGTTCAAAAGTTATGGCTAAGGTTAAAGTTTTCCAAAAGTAAATCAAACTCCAAGGTCAAGGTCAAAGGGTTAAAGTTGTTGGTATCCAAAGGAAGGTCTTGTCACAAGGATTACATATGCTAAGTATGAAAGCCTTAGCACCAATCGTTCAAAAGTTATGGCCAATGTTAAAGTTTTTCAAAAGTAGGTCAAACTCCAAGGTCAAGGTCAAAAGGTCTAATATGGTGGTACCCAAAGAAAGATCTTGTCACAAGGAAAACACATGTGAAATATGAAAGCCATATCTCCAACCAATCAAAAGTTATGGACAATATTAAAGTTTTTGCGGACAGACAGACAGACGGACGGACAGGGCAAAAACTATATACCCCTGAATCTTCGATACGGGGACATAAAAACTTCATATGAGTCATCAAACTTCATACACTAAAACAATTAAATTGATGAAACTATCCAACTGTGTCATAATGTTCCCTGTGACCTTGACCTCACTATTCCTTACCTACTTAAATAAAGAAGTAGAGACCATTTCTCTTCATGTTGCATTGCTAATGAACTCTGGATGGGGCATTTGTGATGTCCTGTGGACATATTTTTACTGACAACAACTTTATTTGTGTTTTTCAATGAATAAAAATTTCATAGTAATTACAGTTATATAATTGTGATTTAATGTTAATTTTATTTTTAATGTACATGTATTTGCATCTTTTTCAGAACGTTTAAACAGTTGCACTGTGTACAACAGAGAAAAAATGATTGATACATTTGATGAAATGAGGAAATCTGGGCGAAGTCTAATTACATACTGTAACCATGACAGCTGTATTGATGACCCTACGACCCTTGGTAGGCATTTAAGAAATGTTCAGAACTCTTAATACATAACGAGCCCAACTTATTAAGAAGAATCATTTCAGAAGAAAATCAGGGTACACTGGTAATGTATTTGTTTTAGCGGACCATCCCAGTATTTGAAATTCTGTAGTTCTCGGATTGACTGAAAATCAGTATAAACAAACTATTATTTGTGTCAACTTCTGTTAGCAATTCATTAATTATCATTAATTAAAAGAAGGTCATGAAATTCTGAGATATTTGTTGAAATTGAGAGAAGTTGTTTTACAGTGTGTGTAACATATTTTGGCCACGGTCATAATTATCATACTTTAGACAGTGTTTCAGCTGTACAAAATATGAATCCTGCAGATATGTATAAAGACATTTTTTTGCATTTTGCTCCACACAGCCATGATGAAATGGAGGCAGGTAATGAATGGAAAAAGGCTCCGCTGGGTCCTGGTAGCAGATGAGATCTGCTTTACATCCAAACCTCTAGCCCTTTTCTTCAGTCTCGGAAAAGCCATCCCTACAATCAGAGGAGAAGGGATCTATCAAAAACCCATGGATTTCGCTATGGAGAAGATTGATCAAGGGGGTTGGGTTCATGTATTTCCAGAAGGTACTATGATTGTCTTATTCTAAAGCTTAGTGTACTGAAGTCGCTGAGTCAGTGTAAGTGTAATTAAAGGTGTACTATATTCCTTACCAATTTACTTTGGGAAATATTTACTAGGTTGTTTATGGTCTTTGATATACTTTTTATCTTACATCAGAGTCACTTTGTTGAAACATATTGCAGTGAAAATTTGTATGTGAATGCAATAGTAGTAGAGGTTTGTAGCAAACACAGACATAGCAAATTTATTCATATAATGAAACTCCATTTTTTTCACTCTGACAAGAAAATGATAAACCTAATTTTAGATTTTAATTATCCCTGATGTTGCTGTACAGTAATAATGTTTCACTGTTTGATTTGTTCTGATAGGGCTTTCATTTAGAAATACTACTACTCAATATCTATAGTTGTAGATCACAAAAACACTAAGTCTTGATGATATATTTCTTTGGTCAGTTTAAGGTTGAATGAAATTTAATAAAAGTTCATATTATACAGTCCTGCCCTAGAATAGTACATGATCTTAGTTGTTGAAATTCAAAACACATTACATTATGACCTAAGGGACCTTAACACAGTTACATGTAAGCTAGAAAAATAAATTGAGAAATGTTTATTTTATAAACAATTTTCTATTATTTGACAAATTTCTCCTCACACCTGTAGTGCTAAAAGTTAATCCTTTTCTTTTCCAGGGAAAATAAACCTAGAAAAAACCTACATGAGATTTAAATGGGGTAAGTCATTTTTAATTATGTTATTTCTCTGACTGATTTTACAAATTCTTTCTCCAAATAGTTTCTCAAGGTTTTAATGTCAAGTTCAAATGCAATTATTCAACCCACATAGCACATGTAGATATAATCTCCAAATTTCATTGTATTTTCCATCTTAACCAGTAAAATAGCATTATAAGCCAATAAAGAAAATAATAATTTAAAACCTTTTATTAAATTATATTATTAGGTACATGCATTGGAATTCTCATGAATAATTGTTACACTACCTTTTTATGAAAAATTGTTACACTACCCTCCTCTGAAGCAATCTTGTTCCTGTCTGTCATCATTTGTTTGTGAATAACATTTTTGATATTTTACAACCACTAGTCTTTGTATGGAAATTTTGAGTTTACAAAACAAGATGTACAGTTAAACTTTGAACACCATTATCTTGAATACCTTGAACATGTCAAAGTAATTTATAAGTCCCAACCACATTATTTAAGTATTTTACCCTTGATATCTCAAATCCTTGAATATTTCAGAAGCTTTTTTTTCTTCATCCCATCCAGCTCGAGGTAACAAGGTTTGACTTGTATTTGTAAGCAGGAAGTACCATGATTTTCATTTCTGAATCAGTTTATTTTTTAAAAGGTGACTAAAATAGAAGTGGATACAATCACTGAACCTAAATTTTATTTTTTGTTTCCTTATCCCAAACTTGGGCCTAAAGGATATTTGTTCAACATTTTCTGCCAGTAATTAGGATTGGTCCACTGATCAGAAAGAGATTCCCCTTACGTATATTGAAAAAGTTGTAAAATAATGCAACAGAAAATTTCATAGAATTGACAGTCTAGTCAAATGTGAATGAAGAGGAAAAGTGAAAAAAATAGTCATAATAATAAAGATGAAAAGACAATGTTATTTCTTGGAAACAAAGTCATTGGCAATATGGTGGTAATTGCATTCTTTACTCTGGATTTTTTTTCTCCTTTGTACATGTACCTATGTTGTATGGAAAATCACAAAAACACTTACTTAATGTTCTGTAAATTATATTTAATAAATTATTAGAATACTTTTTAATTACATTCAAACCTTGTTATGTTGACCTTGATGGGACCAATAAATACTGCGAGATTTGAGGTTAAAATACGTACAGTCAAAACTCATTATCTCGAACTCAATGGGACGGAGAAAAAAACTTAGAGATATCCAATGATTCAAGATATCAAGGGTAAAATACTTTAAGAATATGAGCTTGTGATTTGAAATTCACTTTGACATATCCATGGTATTTGAGATATCAGTGTTCGAGATACTGAAGTTCAACTGTATTAAAGAAGAAGTGGTGGGAATCTCCAGCTTGCTTAAACAAAAACATGGTATACAAGATACCAATGTTCAACATGCTGGAGTTCAGCTGTATCTGTCTAAATTGAGCCTTTATTTCCAGGAATAGGAAGATTGTTAACTGAGGCTAAGCAGTGTCCCATTGTACTACCATACTACCACATGGGTAAGATTTGTCACATTTTAAGATGGAGGATGATAGGCCTATAAAGCAAAGGTATCTTTCTGTCAAGTATGCACAGTAAAACTCGGTTATATGGAATCCTACTGAGACTTCGAATTTTACTTCATTATAACTGAGATTCTTTATATCTGTATAGGGACATAATGAAAAGATACCTAGGAGATTCATTAAAATTTCCTTATAATCGGGATTTCCTTATAAAAGGTTCTTTATAAACAAATTTTATTGTACATTCTTTTTTTTTGGTACATGTATGTATCTCTGTAGTTTGGTTTGTGGTAGCAAAATATCCTAAAACTGCTTTGAAATCAGAGTTCTAGAGAAATAAAAATCTTTTATTTTTAGGACAGATTTCAAAAGAAGTGAATTTCATGGATGTTGAACATTTAATTAACATTAATTTTCAATCTTTATTTTCACAGGCATGGATGATGCTTTACCAACAAAGACCCCATATATTCCTAGAATTAAAAAGGTATATGTTTTCTATTGATAGGAATGGATGAAGCATTTCCAAATAAAAAACCTCATTTTCCAGAGCATGGAAAGGTATAAAGAAAGGGTTTGCAGTGAATAAAAAGGCACTGGGAAGTGTATAATATTTACACCACTGTTTTACCCTTTTATATTCACCTTTCTATTTAAAATTCTTCATTAACAAAATTACAAGTATTTTAGATTATGTCATTGTATGATCTTTTTGGTTTATTTTCTCATTGCTCTTTGGTTTCATTTTAAGAAATTTCTTATCTTTTTTTTCAACCCTTGGTTTTTATTCAAAAACCATTGCAATATTCAGGTTTTTTTTTTCAAGTCATAGTTATCCATTATATACTCAATATTTACAGATAATAGGTCAGGATCAGGTCAGGCGGGGTCAGATTAGGTCAGGTAGGGTCAGATTAGGTCAGACTGGGTCAGATTAGGTCAGACTGGGTCACACTAGATTAAGATCCTTAAAAAGAATGTGAATGATTTCCTACAAAGCTAGATTCTGTTGAGGGTTAAAAGTTTGAGCACAGTATGCAAATTTCTTGTAATACTTCTAAGCATTAAAGGTTGCTACTGACTAAAACAGAGCAATTAATATTTGTATAATAATATTATATATAATGATATTAAGCCAGGGACCTATTTCCACAAAACTGAGCTATCAGATGATAATGAATCTCTGGAATTTATATACAATTTATCAGTACATATATGATTGAAAATGCATATAGTAGTAAATTTGCACAGTGAAAATATGAATAACTGTACATGTATACAATTTTCAGATATTTATTATTTGTATTTCCTACCTATCCCCCCCCCCCCCCCCCCATTAATCTGTATACTGTAAATGTATTTATTTAGTGTGTACAATATTTAGTGGAAATTGTCCTTCCAACAAGTTAAATAAATTTGATCTAGCCAATATTTGAATGTGCTGATATAAATATATTACACCAGACACTAAGTAATGTACTTTATTCAGAGGAAGCTGCTTTCCGCCAAAGGTGGTAAAAAGAATACACTGCTAAATGTAATACATTTACAGTATCCTGAAACATTCTTAAAACTATGAAATCTTACACAAACTCCCACGTACCATAGGTGACAGGGATTTACCAGTATAGCATTCAACTGATTTTTAAGCCAGTAATACGTACATATCAGGGATGGGGTCAATTACTTTAAAAAGTAATTAATTAAATTACAATTACTTTGACTTTTTCTTCAATTAAATTACAATTAAATTACAGGCTTTCTAAGACATGTAATTAATTAAATTACAATTACTTTGCAAAAGTAATTAATTAAATTACAAATTACATTTTTAATTTTTTTGAAAATTTTTATAATCCTTGTCAAAGAAGATACAGAACATCATTTATTTGTATATAAGCTCAGCCTCTGCACAAACAGTACAAGAAATAATATGCTATAGACATTGTGTATCATTGTGGTTTAATTTATAACATTTATTTACAAAACAATAAGAATCTCTTAAAGAACTATCTGAGATCAGTTTGATGCAGTTTCCACCACACAAAACCTACATGTACACAAATTGCATGGCTTATGATATTTGATTAAAAGTGAGTATTTTAATAGAGTAAAATGTGTCACAACTGTAACCCCTCAAATTAAATATTTCCTTTGAAGGTAACCTGAACATCCTTATTTGCTATTTATGTTGAATAATTTTACTTCATAAATCAGAATTGTACAGATAGAAAATTCATTCATAAAAATCTGTTTGGATGTTAAAATTATTATCAAATTGAAAGTTTTTCTTTTCTAAACTAGCGGAGCATTTTAAATTGAAATAATTATCTCCGTTGGCTTTGTCTTCTAAATCATGGAATGAATATCTCTTTAGAGGAGTTGATTTGTTTTGATTGCAATTTAAAGCTGTGATCTGCAGGACAATTATTTTTTCCAAACAAGAGAGAACTTAATTAATGACACACACCTTCTTTTTCTTTATTATTGATCAAACAACAAAGAATGAAATATAATAAATGTGTGTTTCATAGCTGAATAGACCTAAGAAGGGTGGTTCATAATTCATATTTATAAACATAGATAAAAAAATTCAAAATTTACATAATGATTAGAAAGAAACTAGTTTATTATTTTCAAGCCAATCAGTTAATTATTTGTTTGTAAGCATTGACCTAAGTTTTTGTATAATTGAAGGATTTAGGATATGTTTAACAATAAAATAAAAACCAGTAAAATGGGGAGGTAGTGATGACGATATATCATGAATGTGTATTATATAATGTAATTGAATGTAATTGAAAAAGTAATTGAAATTACATGGTATTTTTTCAGTGTAATTAATTAAATTACAATTACAAGTAATTGAAAAAATGTTCAATTACAAATTACTTCCAATTACTTCAAAAAATGTAATTAATTACAGTCAATTACAATTACTTTTTTCAATTACCCCATCCCTGGTACATATATAATACATAATTATGCTTCCTGTCAGTTTGTCTCTATATAGTCAATACCCAACTATTTTCGCTTAGTGGTCTAAGGATTTATATAGCGTAAGCATACTATGCCGAAATAGAGCACAGCTTCTTTTTCTGAAGAAAATCCGACAGCGCCCATGCCGGGGATCGAACTCACGACCCCGAGATTGTCAGTCTGACGCGCTACCAATTAAGCCACAGACGCCGTTATCTATAGCACTGTATTATAATGTATATAAACTTAGTTTCAAATATTTTACACTAAAAGAAAAAAAAAATAAACAAAATAATTTTTATAAAATAGTATCTTGCAATTTTTTACCCTTCACACAACTAAAATTCTCTGAAACTATCTGTACATGGAACATCCAAATTAAAGAAAAAAGATTATGACTTACATGTAGCACAATGTGACGTCATAATAGGGGTGTACTAACATGAATGTAAGAGGTGATGAAACATTGGAAATGGAGAAAAATATTGTCGTTTTTATACAACAGTCAGCATAATAATAACAATAGTGTTGTACTTTGCATGCACTATGCCTAAATAGTAGTCAGGGTTTGACACATAGTGCACTCGCCTCCGGCTCTTGCACCATGTGTCAAACCCTGACTTCTATTTAGGCATAGTGCATGCAAAGTACAACACTATATTATATAAATATAATAATTGAAATCCAAATACATATGTACTTCACCTTCCAGATGAAATTTGTAGGAAACAGAATTTACATTTATATAGATCTACTAATTATGAAAAGTATGTTTTAGTAATCTGTTTTCTTCATTAATCTGGACGATTTGCAGAAGAACACAAGGGTCTGGATAAAGGATGCTAGACTGTAAACCTCAAAACTTGTATTAATTTAACACTAGGTCAAAAAGAATTATATTGTAGCAAAGGAAATTGGCCTTTCAAGTGAACCTGTAGACTGTGTAGTGTAACAGGAGAGGAGAAAAATGCAATGGACCAGACTGATAAAGTTGAATGCTTTACTTGAATATTTTGAGTTTTGTATATTCAGTTTGATTCAAGAGCAGTGTTCGGAAGATAAATATTTAGTACCTTTCATGTAGCTGTTTTCTATATTTTTTGCCGTTTTCACAGCTGCAATATATATTTGTGAAACCCATAGCAACTGTATACAGGGAAATTTTCGCCCCCATTTTATTTTCGCCCCTTTCGCCCAACAAAAAGGTGGGTGAGTTTAAAACGGGGCAAATTCAAAAAACACAGTATAATTTGTTAAACAGAATTGTGACTTGGAATTTAAAACGGGGCAAAATTGTTTGCAAGTATGAAAGGGGGAAAATAACATGGGGTGAAAATACAGTTGAACTTCAGTTTCTCGAACACTGATATCTCAAATACCATGGATATGTCGAAGTGATTGAGAAGTCCTAACCACGTATTTCTTAAGTATTTTACCCTCGATATCTCGAACCCTTGGATATCTTGAAGTTTTATTTCGGTCCCAACAAGTTCAAGATAACGAGGTTTGACTGTAACCCTGTATACAGCATGTTGTAAAATGAATTATCTTCAACAGAGAAAGAAATCCCAATATTCATATTGTAGCAAAAACAGATAATCCTTATTAGAAATGACATAAAATAATTAGTAAATTTTAAGCTTGCCTCAAATTTTCTCCCTAGTAGAAGTTTGTTTTGATTATACAAGAGCATGAAGCATTTCAAAGCCCCCATATCATCTTCCTTTTAAATACATTGGGATTGTATCACACTTAACAATTAACATCAGATTTGATGTTACCTTAAAGATTTACATGAAATTGCAAGAGTAATCTCCCCCACCTTGCTATACATCTTTAAATTACTCAGTTTATAATTAAAGAGACTTGTGTTTACTGAAATATTAACAAAGCCATGACACTTGCTGTACTAGAAGTTACCCTAAGGATTCTTTAAAATGAGCATTGATGAGTACGTGCCTGTAATATGGAGGGGGGAAAAAACAGAGAAATTTAAATATTAGATACTTTATTTTCCAGAAAATCACTATTTTAGTAGGAACTCCTATAGACTTCACAGAGGAGATAGAACGCTTACGACACAAGATGACTGCAGTAAGTATAGAAAATTCTGTACAGAGATCAAGCTATTTAAGTCGCCTGATCTCAAGGCCCAAGTGACCTTTTATATTTAATGTTTGTCCATTATCTTTAGTAGAGTCTTGTTTTCAGCTTTTTCTCAAGAACCAGTGGACCAGTTTCTTCTAAACATGGCACAAAGCATATCCTTAGACCTTTCATCATGGAGATTCATGTTCAAAAAAGAGGCCAATTCTTATGTCAAGGGGGTTAATTAGGGAATAAGGCAACAAGGGTATGGTTATTAAATAAATTCTCTGGTGAACCACTGAGTCATAAAAAAAACTAAACCTATCTGAAAGCTTCCTTACATAGTGTAGATTCAAATTTGTTGAAATCATGATTCCTGGTGCTGGTGTGGGATCAAAGTTTTACATTGTAATATATAGGTATTCATACAAAGTGAAATAACTCTTACAAACATGGCTTATGACAAAAAAGGCACCTTTGATTGAAAGTGGATAACAAGTTTATTTGGTTACATAAGAAATGTGATCCAGATCAATTCAGGAATTTATTCCATATACCTAAGGTTGTATGGAATACAATGTACAATCCAGAGTAATTCCTTGTACACCCTTGATTGGATCTGGAGAACTTATATTTCTAGGTCATATCAACACTTTCGAAGTCACTGGAAAAAATTACAGTGCAAAAACATCCCTTTCCTGCAATGTTGACAAAGCTGCAGGTATCTCACTGCACAAATTTTGCTATGGACCAAATATTAGTTGTTATAATAATTTAAGAATTTAAGGTCATAGATGAAAGGTCAAGGTTATGGAAAGACACAGTTTCTCTCTTCACTGATTTTGCTCAAGGCATAATCTATACAATGTATATTATTGCTGTGGCCATAACTTATGTTTTGAAAGACATTAAACAGGCGTGGATCCAAGAATTTTTTCCGGGGGGAGGGGGGGTCCACTCCAGTCAAAAAAAATTTCCAACCCAAAAATTTCTTGACAAGCAAAAAAAAATTTTTTTAAAAATCCCTTCCCTATCCAGAAAAATACTTGAGAAGCAAAAGAATGAAAATTCCATTTCCAAAACGTGAAAAACACCTATTTGGTGGTAGTGATGGTGGGGTCCACACTTTTTATTTGCTTCAGTATTATAATTTTAATACCTCTGCAAATTCCAGGGGGGAGGGGAGGCCGAACCCCCCCCCCCCCCTTAGATCCGCGCATGTTAAAGTTCATGCTTAACTCAATGATTGACAAGAACTTTTCTTTTTCAGACTGAACTCAGGAAACATTTTACAGACATTCTCCAAGAAAAACTCTATGCTCTTCGCAAAGAGGCAGAAGAACTTCATCAAAAACACAAAGAAAGTTGACATCTAGAAGACAGTTAATTAAAGTGGATCTATGCAATGTGGATATTTATGTATCAGATCTTTATCTATGTACAGGATTGAGCTAGATCTGTATGTTTAACATTTTATTTAAAAGTTGGACAATATTAATATCTAAACATCAGGATATGTTTTTTACCTTTTATATGTACAAATTACTTTTGCATAAATATATATTCATATGATTTTTTTTTTCTTTATATATTTGAATGATAGTTGATGAATGATTATTTAATAAAGAATGAATAGTATTGAACCTGATTCCAGTATCAAATGAATTTTACGATGTACATCATAAGCCTATATGTATGTTTAGAACAATAGTGAAAGTTATGGTTTTGACAGAGTACATGTAATACTATATAAGCGGAATTTTAGCGATTTATCCATAAAAATAGGGAAGTATTTTTAGTGAGAAGTAATTTTAGCTATTTCATAATGTCCAGAAAAATAGCTATATTACCATCTTGTTAGTGATGTTTAATTTTAGCAATATCAAAATTCTTGCTAATAATGCCAAAATTATCCTCACTAAAATTCCTCTTTATCCGGTACATGTACTAGCATTATCAATTTTATTGTGGCATCAAGCTTGTGTAAAGATAGCTAAGTCTGTGTCGACAACTTGTCTAGAAATCAGTGGCCTGAGTTTAAATCCTTGTCAGTGGCATTTTCTCCATTTGGGTGAATTCAAAAAAAATGACCACCAAACTGAATTTTTTTGGCAAAATTCAACTACTTATAACATATTTTTCACTTATATCATCATATTGCAAATGCATTCTAGTTTAAAATCCTGAAGTGGCAATGGAATAGACAATTGGATTAAAAAGTTTCAGAATTTTATTAGTAAAATTTCTTTTGAAAAAAGAAAATATCATTACACCTTGAAAGACTTTCTAAAATACATAATCACAAGAAATTATAGTTTTTTATGCTTCAAAATGGTAAAAGGGGTATAAATGATTAAATCTAGACCTTGAATGAGTATCTTCTCTTGTACATGTGACAAAAAATTGGCTTTTTGATTGTTATTTTACATTGTTTTTTCAATTCTGGTTTGAAAAGTTTTAATATGAAAAAAATATGAAGCAATAAAATTCCCCAAAGTTCACTTTTTTGTCCGTTCAAGTCAATTCTTTAAATCTAGGCCAAAAAAGAATTGTTATATACTAGTTCTCTGAGAAAAAATACTAGATTTTGAAGTGACCCTATGTTACATTATTGTGTTGCACTCCTGACATCTGATATGTATTTTATTTAACATTGTTTTAAAAATTATAGCACACAATAACCCATTCTTACTTTGTAAATCAATTTGTCGTGTTGATATTTTTCATCGTTTACAGCAGGTTTTTCATATTTTGAAGACCTTAAAACATGATTATTTGCAAAGTGTAATATATATAAATTGTATTTAAAATATATGTGAAATGATGAAAAATATTCCCTGAATTGACTGTAAATTTTCTGTAATTTGTTGATAGACATAGTATTTTGAACATCAAATAGTATCAAGCATTTTTTTCAACTTATTTTTTAGTAAAGATAGTTAAAAAGCATCGGTAATTATAAACCAGTTCTGTTGCACTCCTGACTGCAGTAAAGTTTAAAATTAAAACCATAGAACACAAAAATTCATAAAGTGTTGGCAACATCAAGTGGTAATGAAATTGTGCAATACTTATAGTCCAATACTTCATAATTAAACAGATGAAAGTATTTAAAATTCACATTTTATCTGGAATTATACCCTATTTTATGTCCAAAAAACTAGCTTAAATGTATATTTAGAAGATAAAATATATTTTAAAGCATAATTTTCCTTTAGAAGACAAACACAGTAACCCACCAGAAAAATTCTACTCTTCATTTTTTCTTTATTTTTATTCTTATTGGATGATTTATAATTCTATCATATTTGTTGCACTCCTGACCAAAAGCATTGGTGCCTTTAAAGTAGAATTGTGAAGTGAAAATTACATAAGAACTTGTTCTTTAAAGTAGAATTGTGAAGTGAAAATTACATAAGAACTTGTTCTGTTGTTTCAGTGAAGTTGAGGAGGAATTACTTGAATTTAATGACAATGTTTTAGTGTGTTTATTTTTAACGTTCATTAAAAAAAATCACAAAAAGATAAAAACACATCTGAATTGATAAAATTGAAAAAGGAAGGATTTTAATAATAAAACTGTCAATAATTTAGCATTAAATTATACAAAAAGATCATCATTAATTAATGAATACTTCTAAGCATGAATAGAAGTCTTTTCTTCACACAACTTGAATCTTTAAAAAAATGTGTTGCACTCCTGACCATAGAAATATGGATCTGAAGCACAGACAGATCCTGTAATTGATAAATCTATTTGGTAAAAATGTTCTTAGTGTCTTTATTTTCCAAAATAAAAATCAGAAAATCATATAATGATAATAGTTTTTTGATGCTTGGGAGCAAAACATCAAATGTTGCACTCCTGACATTTTTGGGTATGCACATATACTTGACTCTCATTAATGCTGCTTGTGATTTATATAACATTTTTAAGTTTTAAAATGTATATCAGTTATTATTTTACACTTCCAAAATTCTTTTTTGTCTTAATTTTCTATGAGAATTTTACAATTGATGTTTTTTTGGCAACACTACATTTTTTCTGTTGCACTCCTGACATGGTATAACATTTTTTTGAACATCAGCCACGACCACAACTTGAGTAAACAAAAGTTATGACAGTCCACATTTAAAGCTCAGTACTTTGAATATTATCAGGAAAGTCTTTATTTTCAACATGAAGCATTATTTTTTATTTTACAGATCTCCAAAAAATATTGAAATTTCAAAATGTCACAAAAAGGTGTTGCACTCCTGACAATTTTAGCATCATTTTTGGGCATAACTTTTTTGTTAATTGAGATATCAATGAGATATTTGGAAGGTATTTAGACACTATCTAAAGACATATGCTGAGACATAGAAATCTATTTTCATTGCCTGTATTTTTAGTGTGGGTTGATAAATATGCATTTGGTCATTTTTTTTTAATTCACCCATTTTCTATTTGCCAAGTTATGGAAAGGACACATACTAGTCTTAGGGATGAGTCTGGATTGATGTATTTGAAGAAAAGTCTTTAAATAGAGGGGGGAATTCCTGTACATAGAGAGATTAGTTTGCTGGGAGACGGAATGATGGCTTAATTGATAAAATATTCAACTAGAGACGAAAGGGGGTCAGATATTCCAAAAGTTTTCGTATGACTTATTTTTTGCCTTCGAGTTATTTCCCTTTGCCGATCCATCTTGGAGGTCAAACTAGTTAATTTTTCTCGTTGAGTAACCAATTCTAAATGTTTTTGGCAGAAATATTAAGGACAAAAATCTTGGAAAATACTAAAATTACGAATTAAAGGAAGCTTTTGTGCACATATATTCAAAAGAAAAACTGTGTTATCTTCACCTCATTGCCCAGTATGACATGTTTAAATTGGTTGAATAATGAAGGAATCTTGCTTGTTGACCTCCAATATGGTGACCAAAGGGAAATAACTCTTAAGCATCCATCAAAAACCATCTTATACTAGAATAATTCAAGAATGCCCAGATGGCTTGAACCAGAGTTGCATCTTTGATTCTAAAACAAGGTCATTTTGGACAGGGTCACTGGGTACTTAAATTTTAAATTGTTGTATAGAATTATGTATTTAAGTATAGTTTACCTGTCTACGAAGTCTTACTGAAATCGGAATAAAACTGTAGGAGTAGCATTTTTGAAAATTTGTTTACAGAAAGATGACAAGAGACCAGTCAAGCTTATACTTGAGAAAGAGGTTGCCTAAACTCAGTTATGTCCTGAACTTTACCCAGGGTTATTTGGTTTTAGAAATTCCAAATGCTTGTGTTGGTCATAACTAACATTCAATTATACTAAAGCATACATGCTGCTTGTATTCATTTGGACAGGTCAAAGGAAAAAAAAATTGGTACAAATAACTGCATCATTCAAATTTGACCACACTGCAACAAAAAAGTGCAGGCCAGCTAGCCTAAAAATAAGCTAGCTAGACTTTCCAAAATTAATGGCAAAAAGACTTCTGAAGGAAAAAAAGAGGGCAATCAGACCCCACCCTCAATGTACTAAGAGAAACAAATTTTCAATTTCAATTAACTTAAAGACAAACTATTTACTTCTTTTCTCCATTCCTGACCAGTGGTTTAGCTGGGCCTTGGGAGTGGCCATTTTAACCTTAGCCAGAAAGCTAAGTTGAATTTCTGTTGCTTATACACAGGCAGTGTACATACAAGTCTATTCAAATCACACAAACACAGTATTGCAAAGCTTTATTAGACTACACTCTTTCCAGATAACACAGCATTGAATCGTTTTTCATGATAATACATGTGCGTATAGCCATATATGTACATCATGCTACAGTACATCATAATTTATCATTTACCCGTAGCAAAATTTTGCAGAATGATTTATGATGCCAGGAAAAAAAAACGTATTTGATGAAATGTTTTACAAAACTAGAGTTGCGAAAATAATGAACATTCACTTTTTCAGTAATATTGAACATCTGATTTGAAAAAGGTTACATATCTAGACTAAAAATAAGGTATCAAACTAAATCAAGTATTCTGACTGCAAATTAAAATTAATTTTTATATATGATGAAATCATTAATTCCAAAATCTGAATAGAATGAGAGATAAATAATAAATAAATAAACATATACATCCTACTGGAGAGAAAAAGAAACAAAACATCAACAACAAGGCTGGTCTTATTTTCAAAATCTTCCTGAAAATGATCAGAAAATCCTGTTTGTTTCTTCATTCACCAACAATCTGACACAAGTAAACAACATATCACAAGGAGGGAAAACAACAGATTAATATTAAAATGTCCGACTTCTTCAAAACAGAGCACTAGAAGGAAAAAGAACTAGTCCACATGCAAGACTTGGACTGCTTCAGAAAGACCACCAATTTAATGGAAAATCAAGTACAATTTGATGAAACATTCAGATGAAAACAAAGTTTGGGCTACATTATACAGGTTATACTCACAGACACCGAAAGCTAGAAGTGGAAACCAAACAGCAGATAAAGTGCAGAACAGAAAATTTATAAAACTATGGAAGTTCGAAAAACAGAATGGATCTTTTTTACGAGGCAATGAATTGCTGTGCAAATGTCAAACAAATGTCAAATGTCAGAACAGTTTCAAATGGATAGTATCTACATCTTTGCAAAATTTAAGATGAAATTTCTGTATTCCGTATTAGTTTTTGAAAGCTCTGCACCGGGTGCACCAAAATGAGTGCTGAAAGTATGTGTACATGTATCGATTTCTGCAAAATAAAAGGTGAATGAATGAACAAGATTGCATGAAATCTCAGTACATTTGTACATTTGTATGGGCCTATATTTTACTATTTTTTACATTGTATACATTGTGAATATACTCAGTGTATATTATAAACATGTACAAGTATATCAATATACAGGGGTTTTTTTTCAAATAAGTTCACATTTTATAACATTTTGAAATTGTTAGTATGTAGCATATCATAGTATAAAGTATACAATGATGCATGTTTGACACAATTTTAAGACATGGTGACATATTGCAGGACTTTCATGTGACTATACAACCTACTCATTGACCAATGTATTCCTGACATATTAAATGACAAGCTGTTAGCATCACCAAGTCTGGACTACACCTGCAAAGATGAACACAACACAGATCTTTTGAGTTTCGCAAACATAAACTTAAGCCTAAAATTTAAAAATAACTGGAAGCAAAATTTGTGATTATTGTGTGTTACAAATTTTAGCCTCCGCTTACAACATCAGATCAAGTTGATCACTTAGTACACACTTTGCTTGAACTTCTTTCTCTTCTTGGCTTGCTTCAGTCCCGTGAACGGCACATAGTTTCCGTAAAAATTGTCATAATCTTCATCGTCATCATCATTGTAATCAATATCTTCTTCAAAGTCTGGATAAAATGGCAATGCAGGGGCAGACAACTCTTTCTTGATCTCAATTTCTGTCTCTTTGCTCTCTCTCAGTTTTATGCTTGGCATTCGATTCCGTGAACTTGATTTCTGTGGTCGCTGATTCAAGGCTTGTTTCAACTCAGGATATTTTTCTGCCTTCTGGGAACCTCTTTTACGTTTCCTTGGAGGAGAGCGAGGTACCACTGGTTCCTGCTTCACCTGTCTTTGTAATCTTGAGGCCTCCACAGCTAGTTCCAATGTACGCTTAAACTGATCCCTGGCATACTTCAGCTTTTCCTTGGTAGGCCACATTTCACAATTTTCCTCTGATAACTTTGGTGCTATCGGAATAAGTTTTGTTGGTTGAGTTTTACACGGTTGAACACTGACTTTCTTTACTGGTTCTCGGTCCTCTTTTCCAGACAGAACCATTGTTAGTTTTCTCCTTGACATTTTCAATGCAGATCTTGAATCCAGACAGTAGGGCCCAGGCGTGGCAGACATCTTATTTGGGTCACAAGGCGACAGCACATTAGGGCTGGTATCGAACCCAGAACTATTTGTCCTTTTTAATTTCACATTCTCTGGTGTATCATACAACTTCAACCTATTTTGCAACATTTTCCCTTTAGGAGAGTTCATAATGGCTTTTCCTTTCGGAGATTTCATCAAGTCATTCAAGGCCTCCTTTCCTTTGGGTGACACAAGAATATCATTCAATGCTTTGTCATCAAAGTCAAAATTGAACAAATTGTCTTCAAAATTTGAAAAGAAGTCCTTTTCCCAATCCCCTGAAATGCTAACATCGTCCAGAGGTCTTTCAACGTCCATTCCTGAGACGTCTGTTTTGAGTGGGCTCACATTAAGGTCAGAGTTCAACATTGGGAGATGAGTTGGACTCATTGGCTCCACCTTGATCTGGATGTGAGAGGGCGAAAAGAAGCCGCTATCAAAAGACCCTTCCTGTAGGGGATTCATCTTGCTGAATTTTGGGACAAGTTATCCACAATAACAATCAAGGGCATTCAACCTGGAAAAAAAAACCAGTAGTCTAAGAATGAAAAGTAAGAATATTTCACTTTACTTCCAATTAATTTTGCATGAACATGAATCTGGTAACCTCTTTTGAATGGACAATAAATGTATTTCACACAATGCTTAGCTACTTTCTCAATATTGAAACTTTATAATGCCATGGTCTACAAATAACGAAATACAAGTCAAGAATCAATGTGTCATTGTGTTGAATAACTCACTGACAAAACTTTTACTCAAATAAATCAAATTTTTAGACATTTGTATTACTATTTGAATGAAAGAGTCCAGTAAAATAAAGTAAAAAAAATAATAATCAAATTCTTACAGAATAGTCAAAATATGTTCCATCCAAAAAAGTGCTTGTCCTTTTGAATAATCAACTATTAAGTAAAGGGATAAAAAGAATGTGGTACTGTAGTTCTTTGGTGAGAATTTTTTTTAATTACTCAGACTTTAACAGGTTGTCAATTAAGTCACAGAGTCATATAATTACTCCATGCAACACTTATTTTGGCCCCTCGGGGGTGTCAAAAACAACATATAATGTTTGTTTATCAATCACAGTGATACAAGAAGTTCATTTATGTAATACATAATTTATACATTGTGTTTACTATTAAATTAACTAGTCATACTCATTATACATTGCCTTCAAGCAATTTTTTTTCACCTTATACAAGGACAAAATGGCAAGTTAAAGAGTTTTCCATCTTTATCTGGTAGTAATTTAATAAAATCTCATAGAAATCAAGAAGGAAAAAAGAATTACCATCATTTTTTTTTTTCACTATAAACATGTATAATGATGTTAAAATTTTCTTGCAATTGAAAATAAACAGCAACCTGTATTTTAAATCATACCTGTTTTGCATCTCAATTAAGGTTTAGCTCTTGTGATGCACATATTCCATTGCAAATTGTTTACAAGTGATTTTTAAAATTTAGAAAAATACTTTAGCTTGTTCGATTTACTCAATTTGATATTAACTTGACACCTGTGTATACAAGCTGTTCAATCTTACACATTATATATCCGAACACACACTGTTCTGCCATATAGGTATACACTACCTGTAATAAACAATGCATGATGACCAATCTTCCACGGTGTAAAGTAAACATCCTAATGAGTGACACGAAAAACAAATTTCAACACTCGACCAACTATTTTTATAAAAAGTATATTCTCTTGAAAATAACCTTCATAAATTCTAAAACAACAACAAAGGTTCCCCATCAGATACAATGAAAAGTCGTCATACAGTATGAATACATCTCAAACTCATCACACAATGAAGGAACGTCAATGACTGTTTACCAGCTGGCGATCGGATTGTCAACAAATTTTACACACCAATACTGCTGCAAATGGAGGCAATCGGGGTATAAAACTAAACACTCATAGTTTAAAATACTTACTGGATAAATATTTCTCCTTATCGCTTTCGTATTTCCATTCATTCGGCAGTGTAAATCATTGACAGTTTTTTCGATGTCGATTTCCCTCTTCCAAGTTGGCGCCATGAAGCTCGGTCTACGAATTTATTTGATTGGTTGAGTATATTTAACGACCAATCAAATTTCAAGGCTGAGTACGGTATTCACTAGCTTGAAAATAGTCTTTGATGTTTACATGAGAAAGTTGTTCACCCAGAACGCTCCGTTTTCTGTAATGAATGGATATATTAAACTTAGTTTTAAAATAAAATTCAACTTGGTATAATTTTAATTTTAAATAAACCAGCAGTAACTTATAATTTATGACAAATTCTGCTGGATAAATAGAAATAAAACGCCAAAATGATATATATTTTATATTATTTATTCAGTTATGTAAATTTACAAAAAAAAGGCACATTCCCAGAGCTATGTGCAATGATTCTTTGCAATCTCTTTCATTTATAATGTTTATGGAGGATACATATCAGGTGTGTTTTTAATGATCTTTTTTTTTTTTTGACTTGAAGACATCTTTACCGAAAGATCAATAAAAAAGAGTAAATAAGTGCTAAAATTTGACATCTCATGATGCCTCCATTCCTTTTTTAAAAATAGAATTAATCATTAAATAAAATTTGTCTAGCACGTCTGAAGTCGTATGTTGGACGCATACTAAGAACGACTTAACCATTTAGATGTTTTGTATTGAATAATTTCATTGGTCAAACTTCATGACTTCTTAACCAATGAAGGAAAAGATTTTCAGTTTATGCACTCCAGAATTTGCTATATTTAGCCGTTTGGAGAAGGTATGTCTGTTGTAATAATGAGAAAATATTTGTTATTTTGCAACTGATAGCTTGTGTGCTATTGTAGTACCAATTACAATGAACTGAGAAAGATAACCAAGTGATCTGCATTCCGTGTGCACGTTCAGAATTTGTGTCAGGGATGCTCTCGAAAACTAATTATCCATGTTTACTCGAACTCGAATATCGACCAAGAAATTTATGATTATGGATATGATACACTTAACTGAATGCATACTTTTGATGTGCATCATCTTGTTTTCTCGTCAGATAACTTTGATATGACTGTGAAGTTTCTCAAGAAAAGAAAATCTGGTCGTCAAAACATCACTGCTCTAGATAAATATTTCAACAATAAGCAGGCATGTTGACATGCCTGATGAAGTGTGAAACTTGGAGAATAGAGAATGCTTAGGTGATCCTGGGAGGGCTTAGGGATGTAGCGTGTCAAAATGTTTTTATTAAGCTCATAAATAATATTAATTTAACAGAGAATAATCAGATATTAGGCACATTTTTCTATGTTGAACATAAATTGAAAGTTAAAATAAGAAAAATGGATAAGTATGGCTTACACATTTTTTCACAGCCTGTGAATTTTTAAAAATCCAGATACTATATTTTCTTCCAAAATTTGCTCACAGGCTTTGAAAAGCTGAAAGACTGTCCATGTGATAGTGTCTGTATTCAGAACTGCTCCAGAAGATGATACAATACTATAGTTGGTAGTCAGAATAACCCACTTTGTCTAAGGACAGGCTTTTGATCACCATGATTATAAAACTTCCCAAATAAGCTGAATAAAACTAATTTTGAAGTCAAAGTATCACATATTTTAACTAATAAAACTAACCTTTTGCCTTAGAACCCATTTTCTTCTAAAGCATCAGTTGAAACAATGTGTGAGAGTTTCATCATGTATAATAACTTCTAAAAGTAAAATTAGCTATAATTTCAGCTATAAATCCAAAACTGTAATCTTTTATGAAAGTTAGATTTGATACCATGATCTTTCTAAGCTCACCTAAATGATGTTATGAAGTGCTTATGCTATACATCTAAGAGCTGACATCTATTCCGATGTCCATTATTAAAATGTTGGGAAAGGTATAATGACCAGTAACTGTAAATACTGGCTGAGCCAAATTTGTAAATATAAATGATGCATCTATGGATGGATTTTACCAATATTGCACATGACTTAATTTTGTGCATAAATGACCAGGTAGCATTTTCTTTAGATGCGGTTGCATTCGGCTTAGATGTCCAGATGAGTGACGTGGTTTAGCATATAAACGACTTTCACGTTCTTGAGAGTTATCTCTCTTTGTGGATGTAATGATCATTTTTCTCACTATATAAATCCTTTGTAACTTGCCTGTATATGTTTTAATCTTCAACAGCTTTCAATTTTGTACCATTCCTATACTGCCGTAGTATGGGGCTTCACAGTAAACATAATGAACATAATTAACATAAGCATACAGATTTGATTTGTAAGTCATTGCCCCACAAAGTTTGTAATATAATTATAGAAGGAAAATGTGGATCATACCGATTGACACCAGATTGATGCCACAAAGGGAAGTAACTCTTGCAAATGTGAAAGTTGTCACTCTATTCAGAGTTGTCCTTAAGACTGGGGGGTGGGGGTGATACTATAATGGTGCATCCCCCGGTTATTTAGGTACTCCTCCTTAACCCCTTGTTCATGGGAAGGAACTGCAGACCCCCTTCTTCTTTTTTAATTTCCTTTTACTATTTCAATTCTAAGGGACAACCCTGCTATTGGAACAGGTCCAATTCTAAGAATGGGGCATCCTACTCTGACAACAAATTTGCATTAAATTAAATATATCTAGATATGCACTCTTAAATTCGTACTTCTGATGCAGCAAAATGATCTGTTTTTTTAATTGAGGTCAATATAAAAGGCTTAAAAACTAATTTAATGCATTTTATTCAGTAGTTTAAACTTCGAATTGCATGCTTTTACTTGCATCACTCAGAATGTCAAACAGTGGCACAATTTACACTTTCTATTAGAACATGCATTAGTGCTAGAAAAGTTATAAATTTTTAGCAAATGAAGTCCACACTATGTGTGGACTTTAGTGTTTTGTTATAAATTTATATCTTTCCTAGCACTGAGTGATTATGAGTGAAAATGTTCTACTGCATACATTTTTTTTTCTCCCCATGTTTAATGTTATTTTAACCTAATCACACTTTTGCCCTGTTTTAAAGACACATTTGTCTTAAAAGGGATGTATTTGTTTCTCTTGAAGTCCCCCATTGTGAATTTACCCACAGATGACCAGGGTGAAGGGGTAAAAATAAAACAGACAATCATTTTCGTTTACAGTTTTACGGGATTGAATTTTTATTTGGTATGAGATTTTGCCTAAATGAAAGATAACATTCATAGAGCATGTAGAGGTGAGCTTTTTCTAATTTGTTTTTCTTTTCTAGGATGGAGATGAAAGTGCAGAATCCAAAATTGCCATGGATATATTCAAGGTCCCGAGTTTGAAATGAAAAAGGTTTGTTTTAGTACAGAAAATGACTATATGCTATTGACAGTTGTGATCCTAGATTACTTATCAACCTGATCAGTGAAGGAAAATTGCAATGGGTTTGTTATGAATTTGAATTTTTCTCTAGACTTATATCTTAAAATTTAAATTATCTTAAAAAATGAATTTTTCATTATCGTTATGATGCATTTTAATGAATATTGATTGTTAAAGTCTTTTACGATTTAAATTATGAATAAGCATTCATCTCTTGCAATATTATGTTGAAAATAAGCAAGAGACTTCTTTGCAATCCTCTGCAATTGCATACCTACTAGTTTATCATATTTTAATTTAAGAAGGAGTTATCTTTCTTTTTATGAAAAAGTTATCAATCATTGCTAAGAAGAGTACCTCTTTCACATGTATACATTTCAGTAATACAAGCTCTAAATCTGTCCTAGATGAAAAAAATAACTGAAAAAAGAATTGTTTATTTATTTATTTTTTTACAGTTGAAAGCGATTGATTGATATACATGATATGCATGTATCAGAGTCACTGCATTGCATGATGGGATAAAGAAGGTAGAAGACATGAGAACATATAAAGAACCAAAGCGAATTGATAAGCCACGCATCAGAGATTCAGCAATCAGACAGCTTAATGATGCTGCAAAATTTGCTGCAATTCATTCAGCTGCTGTCAGTTTGCGAGAGGAAGAAGAAAATGCAAGGAAGTGTGTGGAAGACCGTCCAAGTGGGTCGTGTGACAATCATGTGACCCAAGACTTTAGTGTAGAGAAAAATGTCATCAACTGTCAAACTGAGAGCTATAAAACCGAAGTTTCCCTGACAACAGGAACGGTTACTATAACAGAAGTGGCCAACAAGCCCTTCCCGCTCTCCAGCAGTGAACCAAAAAATCAAGCTGATGACAAAGATTCCTCATTTTCTTCCTCTCTGTCATCTATCCCTACAGACTCTTACATTTCATCTGATGCTAAACTCAGTGACCTTGACAACTCAGGAATATCTACCCATGATCCTCCACTCTCGCCACACCAGACGGCAGAAAATGGAATGGATGAGGATGAAAAGAAAAGTGATCTTGAAGATTCAGTGGCAGAGAGGAAAAAATCTACACTCTCAAAAGTTGAGAAAAAGAAGACTTCAAAACCTGTGAAAAAGAAAGCACTGATAGACCGTGTTGATAAAAAGTCTCCAAAAGAGAAAGTAAAGAAGGTTGTTGTGAAAAAGAAAGTAAACAAGAATTCTCATGAAGGAAAAATTATCAAAAATAAGACTGTTAAAGGAAAAAAGAAAGCAAAAACTGGGGAGGAAAATGAAGACGTTAGTGCTGTTGATTCATCATTTGGTGACAACAGCAAGACAGATGAAAGTGGAGCATCTGTGTCTCCAAGAGCATCTAAAAGGACACCAAAAAGGAATCGTAAATATCACAGTGACGATGAGCAATTCCGGAATATGGAGGATGGCAGTCCAAGTCGTAAGAGGTCCCCAAGAGCTGTGAGGAAGAGGAAGATTAACTTCAATGAGGACGAGGATGATGAGTTTGAAGATGAACGTTTTGATTTTGATGTAGACTTACCTGAAAAAGTGGAGGTAGCAAAACCAAAACCTCCACCTAAAAAGTGGAAAAAGGTGGAGTTGAATAGTGAACATGGGAATAGGGAAAATGACAATGACACTATGGTCACCGATGATCTTATTCCTAAGCCAAAAAAGACTAAAGGATTGAAAAAAGTTAAAACTAAAATTATCAGTGATGATGTAGTGCCTAATGAAATAGAAAATGTGGAAAAAGAAAAAGACAGTCCTCCAAAGAAAAAGAAATTAGTGAAGAAAAAGAAAGTGGATAGTGTGATAGATAAGGACAATGATGAGAAAGATAGTGCTACATCTGAGGTGAAACCTCCAAAGAAAAAGCGACCGCCAAAGAAGAAGGTGGAGAGAAATGTGGAAAGTAAAGAAAATGGGGAAAATGTTATGGGGAATGGAGAGGAGGAAAATGAGGAAGGATCTGAAACTGAGGTGAAAAAAGAGCAAGTGATTATGTATTGTCCGTTATGTGGACATCTATCACGAAGCAAGAGTGCTAATACTCGACACATCAGAAGGTGTGTGGATATTCCCAGGACAGACAATGTGACTGGAAAGTCTGCGGAGGTTGGAAAATCCATGGAAAGTGGAAAGTCCATGGAGGCTAAAGTGGATCAGGAGAAGGAAAAGAAAGAAAACTTAAATGAGTTGGAGAATAAGGAGGAAAAAGATGAAATGCTTGTTGATCAAAAACCAATTAATGAGGTGAAAGTTAAAGAAAAAGAGGAGGAGAATGAGTCAAGAGAAGAAAAGGACCACTTGGATTCTAGTTTTGACTTATCTGGGGATGAGGAAGAGACTGTGGAGAAGCAGACGACAGACTCAAAACCTGAAGGAACAAGTCCAAAAAAATCAATAAACATTGAAACTCTCATGAAAAAACAAAGCCCAGACACTACATTTAAATGTGAACATTGTGAGTATGCCACACCCAAGCGAGCCATGCTGGGGAGGCACCTAAGGACCCATGGGATATACGTCTGCCTTCGATGCAATCTGGTCTATGACTCTAAGGAAGTTCTCAAGGAGCATGTGTTTCAGGAACATAAAGATCGTGCCGATTATAAACTTTGTAGAAAGTGTAGTCGGTATATACGATGCCATGAGATATCATTAGAAAAACATATGGAAGAATGTACGGGACCTGTGCCATTTAAGTGTAAATTCTGTGAGAAAGAATTCAAGTACGAGTCTTCATTAAAATCTCATATTATTCGTCATGATCCAGATGCACCCAAACGCTTCAACTGCCCACAGTGTACATACAAATCAAACTACAAAGCCAATCTCAAAAAGCATTTAAAAAATATTCACAACACTGAACGTGTCAAACAAGAGTTTCCATGTACATTTGAAAACTGTGAAAAGAAATTTCACACAGAGGACAATTTGAAACGGCATTTGAAGTTTCACTCGGATGTGAGGAATTATCAATGTCCCCAGTGTCCTAAACGTTTCAAAACATCGGCAGCTTTAAGGGGTCACGTGATCGTACATGACCCTGCTCGTCCATTTAAGTGCAATATCAATGATTGTACAAAAGACTTCAGATCCAAAAAACTCTTGAAAAATCATATGGAGGAATATCATAATTTAACTGATAAAAAATTTCCGTGTGATTTTGAGGGCTGCAAATTTACTTTCTTTAAAAGGAGTCATTTGCAAAGACACAAAATTTCCCATACAGGTCAGTATGAACAAAGGAAGGTGTCAAAATAAAAATGTAACCTCTACCATGTCTACTTAACAGACCTGGCTCAGGGGCCATGAAACTTAGACGAGCTCACTTTTGATCTCGGTCTCACTTTTACCAAAGGAATTAATAGTAGAAATGTGAGACTGACATCAAAAGTGAGCTCATCTAAGTTTTATGGCCCCGGAGCCTGAATGACTATGAGCAAAGTCTTATTCAGTCTTTTATATTTTAATTGTTTCATTTCACAGTCTATCAATGTGTAGAGTAAAACACTCTTATAACAAAGTGCCAGGGATGGATGATTTTGCTTCATTGTAAACATAATTCACTATATATCCTTTAGGTTCGCAAATAAGTCAAGGGGAATGAAAATTAATTTTGCTGAAAGCGCCAATTCATTAAAAGCATGTTCACTATAAGTGTGTTTTACTGTATTGAGTACCGTTATTTTACATTAATTTCATTTAGTTCAACACAAAAAATAAATTCCATGAACATAATCAAGTTTCAGCTGTGAAAAAAGCTTATTTTGAAGCATTTAAGGACAATTTTAAAAAATAAAATTGCTGTGAAACATTCATAATACCAAAACTAAGAAGTCTTAAAATGATGTTCATGATTTTTGTTGTATAAACATATAATAAATAATGTTATTGCTTAAGACCATGGATCTAAAATAGGATGGTTAAATTAGTTAAATAATATGGGATAGTGCCTCTCATTTAACCAAAAAATCCAGTTTACTACTAAAGGGAAGTAAGTACAGATTTTGTTAGAAATATATGCACACACAATGATGAGAAGCATATTCTTTCTCTGTGCTGTGCACAAAGATTTTATATTTGATCCACACCTAAATGATATTTTATATTTGATCCACACCTAAATGAAAATTTCTATGCTGTATTGTAGGTGAGCGGAAGTTTGGCTGCTCGGTGTGTGGGAAGGCTTTCAGACATGCAGACAACCTGAAGGTTCACATGAGGCAGCACACCAATGAGAAACCAGTGGCTTGTGATCTGTGCAGCTTCACGTGTCGTCAGAAAAGCTCACTGCAGTATCACCTACACAAATTTCATGGAATTGCTCCCAAACCAAAGAAACCCAAGAAGCAAGGGGAGGGGAACAACATGGCATCACCAAGTGACAGCAAACCAAGCTCGGTATCTCACGAGTTCAAGGAGAACCAGAGAGATTCAGTTGAGAAAACCGAAAATAGTTTCGACTCAAAACCACTGACTCCTAAACCCAAACCTGCAAATCCTGCGATGGACTTGTATGAATTCCGGTCGGATGAGGAATTTGACGATGACTCGGTGTTGTTGCCTTTACGACAGGATAAAACGTCTACGCCAATTCGTCATGAGAAGACTTCGTATTTGTCACACACACCAAAATCTGATCTTATAGACAGGACTTCTAAGAGTTTAGACTTTGACGAGGACAAACTCAGTGATATTGATACTCAGACGGACAAAACAGAAACCGAAGATCAAAAAGAGAAAGAATCTAAAACCATAAAGGAAGAGGATGATGAGGAGGAAGACGAACCAGCTAAACCCACTGCCAAAACCAAGAAACCGAAGAAATCACCAGGAAGGAAGAAAAAGGTTAAAGCTGCAGAAACCACATCACCATCAAAACCAGACAAGGAGGAGAGTGCAAAACCAGAGGAAACAGAGGATGACAAGAAGGAGAAACCAGTCAAACCGAAAGGAAAGAGAGGAAGAAAACCCAAACCAAAACCTGAAGAAGGTATGTTGCTGTGTTTACGGGTAACTTTTACAGTATAGAAGTTACTGCAGAAACAGTACTTAAATAGAGCATGGAAAAGAAAATTTCTCAGATCCATTTATACATTGGACTTCATCATTGTCATAAGAGTCAAGAGTTCTTTTTGGCCATTCTTCATTTTTCAAAATGTTTATATTGGTAACACATGGGTAAAATGAGAGAGGAATAGTTTAAAGACAAATGTACACTTAAGTTTCAAATAGTACACAAACAACTGGAATTTACAAGATAATTAGACTTTAATGATTATGACTCAACAATCTATTATAGAAAGAATTTTTTTTTTAATTTCTTGTAAATTGCAAATGGATGTATTCAACTAATGATATTATCCTTGTAAAATATTACAGAGAATGGTAGTGAAAAAATGTAATGATGTTTTTGTAGCTCTGACAACAGAAACTACTGCTGATAAAAAAGACTTAGAACAACCACCTGTCAAACCTCCAAGGAAGAAGCCAGGTACTTTGGAATCATTTTGATTTGGGGGGGTCAACATTTTTGGGCAAGCAAAACTCTTTTATACAGAAGATGCAGTGAATCAATATGTTGACAAGATAATCGTTCTGGCAATGTTACTTCGTTGGAAAGGGGGACTTATAAAATGCACATGCATTTGTCTCTCACAAACAATTGTGTTTCAACAGTAGATTATATAAAGTTTATTTTGCCTTCGAGAAAACAGGCAATTTTATTTAAAGTGTGAAATTTATGTTTGTTGCATGTTACAGTTGATGTAAAGTCTTAATCATTACATATATCTATATTTTTGCAAGTATAATTATGAATGAAAATACTGCATAATGCATAGGATGTCTTCAAGGTAGAATAGTGATTTTCATTTAAAAAAAAAAAAGAATGTGAAAATGTATACTTGATTTAAAAATAATGCCTAATCTAATACTGTAGATTCCTTATTTTTCGCGAGTACTTATTATCGTGAAATGGCTCTTTAACATCAAATCGCAAAAACAATAATTCACAAGTGGACAGTTCATCAAGAGATTTTACATGGTTTTTAGAATCATAAAAATAAAAGTAAGTAATTTTATTTTGCAGATGGTGTTTCTCGCTAAATTACATGATAATTAATTCCTTGCGTATATTTAGGAATCTGCAGTACTTTAATAAGATCATAGATTGAAGTGATGAAATTTTAGGAAACATTAACATTATTTAAATACAAAATTAAAGCAGATTTTGAAAATCTTTTCAGGTCCCAAACCTAAAAATAAAACAAAGTCACCTGAAGATGCTGTAAAAGTACCCAAGAAACGGGGGCCCAAAAAGAAGAAACTGCCAGTTCCTCATGATGATTTAACCGAAGAGGAACCAAGTTCACCACAGAAGAAAAAACGTAAATATGTACGCAAAAAGAAACTTGAGAAGCAGGTGGAAGAGAAGAGATCAAAGGGAGGGAAGAAGAGGGAAGATGCTGAGACAGAGGAGGAAGATACAATTATATACAGTGAGTTGGAACACAATACTGCCAATGAAGATGACGGGGAAGCTACAGAGATCGAGGGCTTCAATGATGAAGAAGGGGGAAACAAATCTCCCGATTCACCAAAGTCACTGGGAGGAGGACCTCACGAACCTAGAGAGGATGTGGAGAAGGAAAAAGAAGTGGAGGAAGAGAAGGACATGAGTGAGGATGAAAAGGAAAAACTGGAAGAGAAAGTGGAGGAACCAGTGGAAACAAAGTCAACTAAAGAGGAGGAGGAGAAGAGGACAAGTGAGGCAGAGAGTGACAGAATGAGTAGTGGGATTGATACTGATTTTGAGGATGATTTGAAGCCACCTCCTGCACCTCGACCTCCTCCCGTGGTGGAGAGCGATGAAGGAGACATTGAATCAGGACCAGAGGACATGGATACTCCTGGTCGAGATTTTGAGTCAACTCCACCTAAATCAGTACAGAACCACAGTGTTCAGAGTCTTCCTGGCAGGGATTATGAATCCACCCCAAGAGATTATGAATCTACTCCTCCAAAATCAGTGCAACCAGATAGTGTTCCCAACTATGGCAGCAATGAGAATAAGAATGATGTTATGTCTCCACCTTCTAAGGGATACTCCAGTGTTGAAGCAGCTAAAAGAGATCTTTCTGTTGACTCTCAAAATGAGGACCGGGAGATTTCTAATCCTGTGCCGAGCAACAGCTATCCACAGGCTGGATCTGTGGAGCACCCCTCATCAGTAGCTAGCAACCCCCCACCAGGGTCTCAAAGCAATACAGGGTATGGGTCACAGTCAGAATCAGCCATGCCAGAGGTAGACAAAGATTATCTTGGACAGTACCTCCAGCAGTTTGATTCTGGGGGTAGGTCTTCAGACGACAACAGCCGACTCAACCCATCTGTAGAAAGACCTCCAGAACATATCAACATTCCTACATCACCCCAAGATAAAGAGTTGCCTCCCCTTAATTTGAGTTCATCAGTGCCACCTTTAAACCTCAGCACTACTCCAGATAGAGACTCCATGCATACTAAGGGAGCTGACTTGTCTAATAAGAGAATGGAGATTTTGGCCTGTGATAGACAACAAGAGGAACACTTTCAACAGAGGTCTGAAAACCAAAGTCGTTCATCAGAGCGAATACCTGATAATGTGTATGATAGCCTGTCTTCTGTTATGAACTCCTATTTGCCTGGGTCAAGAGAAAATCCAGCTCTCTTCCCTCCTACAACTACTTCATCTTATGCATTTTCAGAGAGTGAATCAATTCTTCAGCGGCAAAGAATGACCACTCCATTTCTCACTCAAAGTGACCCAAATGCTTTACAAAACTTACATAGAATGGCTGACTCTGCTTTAACTGCTAACAATCCAGCATCTCTTCTCAGACGGCCGACAACAGTTCCTTCCAGGGAGGAGATATTTCCACCACCTTCAGCTGTCTCACAGACAATGGCTCGTAACCCTTTCCATACCTCATGGACTTCCCAAGATGTTAGACATCCACACTGGAGTCAGGCATCTTACCTACAGAGACAGACAGGGTCCACTACTAACCCTCTCTTTCCAAAAGATAACTACCTCCCAGGAAGAGATTTCATGTTTGACACATCCAGACGCACGGTGACAGAGAGGAATATGTTCCCAGGCCTACCACAGACACAGAGACCCGATCTTCCACATGAGACCTTCCCAGGATTTGAGTTTGGTTATTTTGGGAGCCATGGTTACCCTGGTGCACCACCACTGGATTACACAAGATCCTCTTCTCAAACCGCTCAGAAGACATTCGATGAGAGATATCGACAGACAGCCACAGGAATGGGAGATTTCAGAACGCTTCCTCCTTCGTCTTCCTCAGACATGTTCAGATCCATGAATCCATCTTTTAACTTTGATAAGTACATGTATGGTAGAGACCCTGTGTACCACCCTCAGCATGTAGGAGACACAACCAACAGCCCGTTCCTCACTCATGGAGTACCCTCACAGCATGCAATGTTTGACAGAGACTACACCAGGGGGTTTTATCATCAGAACAGCCCCTACAGCTTCATGAATGACAAGCCTTATGCTGCTGCTGCAGCTGCGGCATCAGCCAAGTTGACCCATTCTTCTACCCCAGGGATGGGCCAGGACAGAGACTTTGTGCCACGCCCAAACACTGCAGCAGCTGCTGCGGCCGATAGCCAGATACCTATGCAGGATCCGTACCGACACCCAATGTTATACAATATGATGAATAGGTACTTTGAGTCCTGAAAAATTAGTAATTATATTTATGTGTTTCAAACGTCTGATTACGCTTGGCGGCCAGTGAAGTAAAATGTAAGAAAAATTCAGTGTTGAAGAGGATGGAACATGAAAGGCACCAAAGGAAAGAGAAAAGGGGGATGGCCTTGTACAATATGGTGAGAGTATTGAATGACTTCAGTATCTACCTAAACAAAAAGGATGTTATGGTATATATAATATATATGTTACAGGATTAATTTTTGTTGTTGTGATACACCGTAGGTTAAGTGTATAAATTATTAATGTATCGGTGCCACAACTCTGAGATGGCAAAGCTGTTATTTTGTAAAAATATCTCCTAGGCTCTGGACCTTGCCTTGATAGATCTTGTAATTCTGTGTATAAGTGAAATCCTCAGACTTGTATAATATCGTGTTGTGAAATCCTGTCATTATGTGGATGTTGTTTGCTTATTGCTGCCTAAGTGATAGAAAAATATGTACTTAATAGGTAGATAAGTGTACAAGTATTTACATGTATCTGCAATAAAATTTTTATTACATGGAATATCATATTACATGTAGAGTATAGACTCAGTATTTTCTTCTGTTGATATACAGAAGATAAATGTGAACATGAATGTGCCTGTGGTAGCAAAATAAGTCAGTTTTTTTTTTCTTAAGTTTTAAAATAAAAACACTTAAATGTAAATCAATTTTGCGATCTCATACTAAATCATCTTTCAAGGGCTTTATATGATCTATTTTTGTATTTATATGTTAAATTAGCTGTTAAAGTGTAAGAGAATGTGGGAAAAAATACTATTCTTGTATAAAACATATCCTTAGACTTGAAGTATAAAGAATCATGTGATCTCTGATCATGTGACTTGATTGACCTATCAGAGTGCTTTTTCCCATTTAAAACCATGACAAACTTCATACTGCATTTCAGATGTTGCAAGTCTGACACAAAACTTGTAGTGCCAAGGCAATGTATTTGTAATTGGAAGTTATTATGAACAACTGATGAAAGGAAATGTGCATTAATATGATATCAAGTGAGTTGCATTCTTTAATTTGGTGCATAACTGTGTGCAATTGTATAAATCATATTTGCATTTTTTAAATTTGCATAATGTCGGGGGAAAAAACCATGAACAAATTGTTTTATGTAATATAGCTGTATTTTGAGGCACACATCATTTTTTTTTTTACACCAAAAAAAATCATTTTCCATTTCTTTTCACACATTTTATATTTGATCGTTAAATTCATCTGTACAAAAATACCATCGCCAATTTTTACTGGTTGTATTTCCTATCGTGTGCATTACTTGCATGACTATATCCTGGTGACTCCCAAGAAATACAGTTTATATATATACACACCTTTAGTATTTATTTGTAAAATGTTGATGCATGGTGTCTGTAGTACCTCTAAATCAACAAAGTCCTGCACCCTTATTTGTTGTTGTTTATGCCTTTTATTTTAGTTTTAATTTAATTTTGTTTTCATTTCTATTTGATTGAACAAAACCAAAATGTAATTGAACTGCCAAGTATAGATGTCTGAACTTGATTCTCCTCAGCAGTGTAGTATCATTTTCCATAAATGATTAACTTTTAATAGATCAAATTATGTGCATCATTTTTTTTTTCTTTCAAAAAACCTGAAATGCCTTTTCCTGAGATTCTACATCCTTTGATTTTTTCCCAATTTTGTTATGAGCACTTGTCAAAAATCTATCCCCCAAGAAAGGGAAGTTTAATTACGTAAGGAAAATAGCATTGAAACCTTTAGATAATTCAACCAATGAGACTTTTTTTTTGCAGATGTTTTATTTTTACTTCAATATATTTGCTTATATATCAAACAAATTCAACATATGACCTAGAAGGGAAATTAATGTAATAATTTCACAGCATTTTGTTTTCTCTCTCTCAGGGTTTGTTGCCAGTATTTTTTTTTATTTTAGGGTTCATTACCTCTCTTTAAGTAGAATACAAAGGCATTATGTATATTTTATCAAAAGAACACATGCACTCAAGGGTACTGATTTTAATACAAGCACACCAGTAATAGGGGAGGGTTTTTAACTTTCTAGACATCTCTTTGATGAATTTTTCTTCTGCATTGGAAGAATGCTTGGGCAAAAAAATTACATACTGAGGAGTTGAGTAAGATTTTGTTTAGATTTTGGCCTTTTGCTATAGAAAGTTCTCTGATCATTATTTGTGTGTCTGATGGTATTTTAATTTCTTACTGTAATTTGTATGCCCTGTCAAGAAAGATGGTATAGATATTTCTCTTTTGGTCCTAAAACAGTGTTTTTGTTTTTTGGAATGACAGGAATTCCATACTTTTTTGAAATCAAAATACTTTTTTTCCCTAAAATATGCTAATAATGCCAGTCAGTGATGAAGTTTTTGCTTCTCGGAACCATTTGAACCATACACTTGCCAAGATAAAGGTCGAATTGTCATTTTCACTGACCTATAGTGATCTTGTAAAAATTGAGATACTTTGACAGCCGAAATTCCAACATGGCCACCATGATTTCTGGTTCACAGAATAAATTTTTAATTGTCATTCTCATGAAGTCAGACATACAAGTATGTATAATTATTCCAAAAGGTCTTGTATATGGATTTGACTTAGTAAAAGATTTTTTTTTTTTATTTTAAAGCATGGATATATCATTTTTCTGTTGATATAAGGCAGGGATTTCAAAGGAAATTAAGGGAGATTAAAGAGCTTATTATCTGATGTGACCCATGTGATCAATATGGCACCTTCGATGGGTTGGTTTAATTTTATTTTTTTGTTTTACAGCATTTTGAAAACCAGTTTTAAATCAGTTTTATTATTCTGTTTTAAAGACTTTCAGTTTTAATACCTAATTTTGTTACTTTTATACCGAATGTTGATTTTCTCCTGGTTAGGTTAAAGATGTAGGAATGTATCTGCTGAATTGTTTATTGTTTGTATAATTTGTACAATTTTATTTGTAAATATATATATATATAATTGTGTGAGTTTTTTTGTGTTGTTATTGCGATATATACTATACATTCATTATCATTATATAAATATTTATAAATATATATATATATATACATAGTTACGGCAATTCTGCTTGTTGTTCGATAGGAAACCAAAAAAAAAATTGTGAATGTTGTTAAAGTTATGTCCCTTTAAAGTTTTTTAATTACAAATTTTATTCTGTAAACTTGATGTTTGTGCAAAATCTTTTTTTTTTCTTCTGTAAATGATTTTGGGACAAAAAAGATTGCTAAAAATAGCTCCCATTTATATATAGATAGCATAGATCATTTTAGAGATAGTTTTAGAGAATAAACATTTTACTATATGTCAGTCTTGTATGTATTTTTCATTCTGTTATGTAGAATCATTGATTGGGTCACCACTAGCAGATAGAACTTTCTAAGCTTGTTAGATGCCTACCAAGTTTTGTTTTTGTTTTTGAGAATGTCACAATGGAAAGAGTTTAAACAGATCGAGTGTTATATCCTATTGGAATATGAAGTTTTAGAACCCAATTACATTAGACCTTGAGATACTGGTAAATCATTGCATGCAAAACTTTTTTTTTAGTGGTAAAGCTCTCGCATTATAAAACAAAGGTTATCTGTTCTAGCTATGAAATTTCTTGCTTCATCATTAGCAAGAGCAGATGAAGGAATTCCTTTTCAGGCAACTTGGAACAAAATTTTGGGTGTATGTTAAAAGATTGAGGCGGATCACCCCACTTTGCAAGTTCATGCTTAGGGCAAAAATTGCCTATGATCCAATGGTATGTCAGGACTTGAGGACAAGGTCATATGGACAAACTCACAGAGATCACAGGTGTAATAATTTTTGTTCTGACTACAACTTAGTAATGTATAGATTGTATAGGCTTGTAGAAAAGGATTAAAAATGATTTTTGCAAAAGAATGTGTCTTGCACCTAAGCCAAGGTCAACTGGTCAAAGTAAGGGTCAAATGCAAAAATGTAAAATTCTTGTTGCTTTTTCTAATTTTATACATGTTTTGAGTAGTTCATATATGTAGCTCTTGACCCCAATGCAGGTTCTAGTGACCCTGAACCAATGTCTTTAGGTCAACATAATCAAGTTCTAAAGTTTTATATCAAACAATTTTTCACTCTTTGTACTGACCTTAAAGTAGCTAGTTCATGCAAAGTAACCTACATTTTATAACTTCTATATTTGATGAGCCACATGAAAGTATGGGTATCACTGGCATTCCTTGTTAAATTTTCCATGTCCAAGTCATAATTTTGTCTAGTGAAGATTATCAAAGCTCAACAGTTGATGCATACATTGTCTTAGATCATATCTACTTAGAATCATCAAACCTTGTCAGCAAAGATCTTGGGGTGTGGGGTTACAAAACTAAGTGGCAGTGACTTCGTTAATGAATTTATAACTTGGTCAAATTGTGTCTGGTTTCTATATTTGTATACTAGTTACTGTAAGTTGAGAATCATCAAACCTTGTCAGTTGATATAATTCTGGGGATTTGAGGTAAATTATATTGTAAATAGAATTTCAGTGACTACAATTAGCATTTTATGTCTTGACAGGCATATCATGCATGTATCGTATATTTTGCAGTGTAAAACCTTAAGGTATGTCACTCGTGAAATTAGTTATATCAAGGATTTGTTGAAAAGTATATTTTGGATAAGTACTAGCTCATACAGTATGACTCAAAATCGCAAAGAAAATGGGGGGTCAGTGTGCGTCTTACTGAGCTACGGTACAATTAAGTTGACCTTTTTGCACTTAAATTGCAACGCTTTGGTTAATCAATTTAACCTTTATCATATTTTATCAGATGTAACCATGGCAATAGATATAATCTTATTTTATGTAAAATAGTCTGAATTATATTTATCACTGAACAAATCATGCAAATTAATGCGCAAAATTATTGTGTGACCTTTTTGCACTAAAAAAGTATCATATTTGGGGTATTAAAATCTAAATAGGCATTAAAATATTTTCTTGTATCAAACTTTTTATGACTTAAGTGCTGATCGGTCGAAAGTATTGAGTAGTTTAAAATAATAAAATAAAAAGTTGGGGTCAGTGATGTAAATTTTGAAATATTGGTCAAAATATGTGATTTTCAGGCCAAAAACTGTGTATATTTTATCTTGACTTCCTTAATATATCATCATTTCTTAGCAAAGTTTGTGGAGGGAAGGTGTAAAATTTGTTTTAAAAATATAAACTGAGACCTATATTTAACATTTCTAGCATATAATAACGGAAATTATTCTCTGAGTAAAAGTAAGTGGGGCTAAAGTTCCAAGATATTAAATTTGATAAATGTGTAGATTTGAAGAATTTTCTGCTAAATATCCTTCCACCACAAGAAATAGTCCCTCATAAATCTTGCTTCTTTATGAATTTTTGAACATTTTTTAATTGAATGTGAAACAATTTGCATTGTTTAATTTAAATATAATATAAAAATTGAATTGTAATAATTAGTTTTGAAGTAATTGGTTCTGACTGAACTTTTCTAAAAAGCTGACGAGTGACATACCTTAAGAATCTTCAAACCTTATCAGTTTATGCACCTAATGGGGAAGATGTACTGTGACCCAATATTGATCACAGTAACCTCATTTTGAAATTCAATACCTACATAGAAGTACCGTATATACTCGCCTATAAGTCGGTTTTTTTGGGAGTTAAATTTTGGTCCAAAACTCTATGTCCGACTTATAGGCGAGTTATAAAAAGATTGGAATTTTAGAGGGTCAAGCCCTCTAATATAAACTTAAAAAATACAACCGACTTATAGGCGGACCGAAATATATATGCGAGTATATACGGTATTGTATCTGAATAATATCTTACACAATGTGAGACCAACAATCATAAAACCCTGTACTTTGATGCGTCTTTGGGAAAGGTGTTTTACAACCCAAGAATAAGTCACTGTAACCTCATTTTGGAATTACATAGCCAATTATAGTCTCCATACCATATCTCGCATAGCAAGACTGGAATCATCAAACCTTGTTGATGTACTCCTTGAGTATAGTGCATCACAGCTCCAAAACAACTGATGATGATTTTTTCTCCTGACAAACCTATCAGTTGCCCTTATGGTTCACTTTGTTGTGCAACTCTAACCATTCTTTCTTGGGCCTGCTGAATGTATCACAGTTAAAACAAATACAAGTCTGATTTTCAAGATTTCCTAATTCGATTTCACAAGATATACATGTACTTGGAATGACCAGTGGCATAGCATGAATAAATCTGAAGATTTTAGAACAAACATTTTAATCATGTGTAGAGTGGTAAAACGGTTAACATATGAAGATGATGATGATCTAGTATGATTGTCATGTGTCATCAAACTTGAATCCTTTTCTTGACAAATCTTCTCTGGCTTCTTTTATTTGCTGAAATCATAAAACAAAATTCTTTTTGAATAATTCCTTCACATAAAATTAAAATTAGACAGCTGATACTATGGAATCATTTTAAATTCTGGTGGTCAACGTTTGTGGGCAATAAAACTTTTACTGTTTTATGGGTACATAATTTTGAGGATAACCAGTATTTACAGATTGAAGATTTAATTAACCATTATGTTGACAAAATTATGGTTAGTGAAGATGTTAATTTGTGAGTACGGGTGACCCATGAAATCCACGAACAATGGTACCCCATGAACAAACGAATGATTCCATAGGAAGGGTTTTTTTTAATGTATATATTTTTCACCTATAAAAGAGGTCATTTGAATAAGGGAGATAACTCTTTGTATTAAAATGAATTTTTTAAACCTTGAATATATGTTTTACATTTCGTGCATTAATTACCTGTTTTAATTCCTCTGCTGCATCTTTACAATCATTAAATGTTGCTACTCTGTATAGTACTATTACTGCAGAGATAATCTGAAAATTAAACAGAGTTTTATACTGTATATGGTAAAAATGATCATAAAATCTACACCTTGTTAAAACACAAATAATCAAAGATAATTAGACTCTCATTAAAGAATGTCAATTATTAGAGGAAAAGTCTTGTATGAGTGTTCAATAAGATGCAATAATTTGTAAAGTTCATCATTTTTATAGTCTTATAGTTAAATATTTCCAAAATGTAGCATCTGACATTAGATTTAATCCCTAGGTACATAGCACATACAAGTACATGTATGTACTAAGTAACATTCAAAACTGCTAAGGAATGGACTAGCTACAGGACTTCAAACCTGTTATTTAGAAGAAAAATCACAGTTTGGCTTCTGAAGGAAGACTTTCAGTATTCATCAGTAGAATTGTTATCTAAGCAAGCTGGTCCAGGTGAGTCTTATAGTAATTTGAAAATGGAGCAGCTGCAACACTTCTAGGAAATTTATATAAGACAGATGCATAATTTGATAAAAGCCTATAATATGTCAAGCCTGAAAGCCTGATGTCCAGGTAGGTTTTGTTCCAAACTTAGAACATGGCTATTCAGCAACTCTTAGGAATGCAAAGGACTTGGGAGTAAGATAAGAATGCCTTTAATTTGAAGTGAGCTAGAAAAATATGTCATGGATCCTTTGTTTTGTTTTTTTCTTCATGTGAATTTTCAGATGATCATAAATATTAAATTGTATCATAAACTTAATGAATTACACTGTATCATGCAAACCGTTCACTTCTAGTACTCACCCCAAAAATACCAACTGCTATCAAAGGAGACTGAAATAGAGAAGAGAGCAATCAGACTGGTTAAGTTGAATACAGTAGAACTTTGATATAAAGAACTCGCTTTAAAGAAAATCTCAGTTATAAGGAAACTTTTAAAGACTTTCCACTATGTTACTTGAACAGGTAAAAAGAAACTCCATTACCTTGATTATAAGGGCTCACAACTGGAGGTCCAAGTGACTTCCTTATAATCAAGTTTTACTGATATATATATACACTACAAGTACTGCCTTGAAATCTTTTCAATTCAACATATTTTTTTTAATAGTGTAAAAGTATTAAAAAGAAAGAGAGGAATGGTCAATACTGAATATATGATCCCTGATCTTTTACTAGCATTCTACTATCTGAGTAACAGGTCACTTGTCATCTCTCCATCACTGCTAAAAATTAATCAAGATAGAAACTTAAAGCAGATAAAATATTTACATCACTAGAACCTAAATTTTGATGATCTGCTTCACTTACCAGTAAAACAAGAATTCTCTGGATTTCTGTCAATTGGATGTCAACTTTTTCTAGAACAAAGGCAAGCCACACAGCTACAAAGAGTCCAGCTCCTATCAGCCACTGGAATAATTTGGGTATCTGCAGAGACAGAAAATCAACAAAATTAATGCAAGTTCAGGGTTGTCCCTAAGATTTAAAATAGCAGGGTACATTAAAAAAGTAGAAGGGGGTCTGGGGTTCCTTTCCTTAACATGAGAATGAGGAGGAATACTAGAATTATGGGGGGATTATGTCATTTTAGGTAGGGAAATTCCCCAGGTCTTAGGAATAACCCTAAAGTTACATAAAAACTTCACCATCTCAAACTCAGTGGGATGGAGATAGTGATGTATTGATTAATCGATTAAATCGATTATCTAATCGAAATGGTCCCTACTTATAGATAATCGATTATAATTTTGATAATCAATTACTCAAAATATTTGTGAAAAGCAAATTATTTCTTTGATTTTTGATTAATTCTTCTTTGTATTTAACTAAATCCTAAATAATAATCTAATTAAATAAATGAATCCAATGATACAAAATATTTCAACAAGAGGCCCAGGGTCCACATCGACCACCTGAACACTCTGGCTAGGAAAAAGCAGAAATCAGTTTAGTCTTGAAAAGTTTAAATATAAAACTGGTTGGGAGGGGGGGGGGATAAAGTGTTAATTTGAACTAACTTGAATCTAAACTTCATGGGGATGCTTTTGAATTTATATGACAAATAATGGCTTTGCTGTTATTAAGAAGAAAATTTTGATTGATACATCCTTTGTATTCCTTTGTATGATCCCCTGTTATGGCCCCTCTATTCTCCTGGGGATTATGATTTGTACAAATTTGAATCTACATTACCTGATGATGCTCCCATTTAAATATGACTACTCATGGCTTTGCTGTTCTTGAGAAGAAGATTTTTAAAGATGTTCCCTATATTCCTATGTAAAACTTTGATCACCCATTGTAGCCCCACCCTACCCCCGGGGGTCATGATTTGAACAAACTTGAATCTACACTACATGAGCATGCTTCCATATAAATATGACCAATCATGGCTTTGCTTTTCTTGAGAAGAAGAATTTTAAAGATGTTCCCTATATATAATCCTATGTAAAACTTTGATCACCCAATTGTGGCCCCACCCTACCCCGGGGGTCATGATTGTAACAAATTTAAATCTACACTACCTGAGGATGCTTCCATATAAATATGACCCATCATGGGTTTGCTGTTCTTAAGAAGAAGATTTTTTTAAAAATTTTCCTATGTATTCCTATGTAAAACTTTGACCGCGCATTGTGGCCCCACCCTACCCCAGGGGGTCACGATTTGAACAAACTTGAATCTACACTACCTGTGGATGCTTCCATATAAGTTTCATATTTTCAAGCACAGTGGTTTTTGATAAGAAGATTCTTAAATGAAGTCATTAATTTTTTTGAATTCATAATTATCTCTCCTTGGAAGAAGGCGTGGCCCTTCATTTGAACAAACTTGAATCCCCTTTACCCAAGGATACTTTGTGGCAAGTTTGATTGAAATTGGTCCAGTGGTTCTTGAGAAGAAGAAGAAAATGTAAAAAGTTTACGACAACGACGACAACGACGACAGACAACGGACAAATTTCAATCAGAAAAGCTCACTTGAGCCTTCGGCTCAGGTGAGCAAAAAATATGTTCTAGAAATCACTCCAGAATTGTTAACCAATTTATTCTGCATTCAAAAATGAACAAATTTAATATTTGAAATTGATTGATTATAGTGCATCCGATTATTCCGATGATCTATTATGAAAAAAATTCAGATGTCTCATCACTAGACGGAGACTTAAGCAGGTCCAGTACAATCAGTACATTTAGCTACGTAGCTAAAATTACCTACTGTAGCCTTATTTACCTACCTCAGGTAGCTTTATTTAGCTATTTCAAGGCAACTTTTCACAATTTTGCTTTTTATTTTAAAAAGACAAAAAGTCACAAGTAAATGTCTACTAATATTTATTCTAGGTATTATTTAGAAAGCAATCTAAAGCTGAAATAGATTTAACATTCTGCGTTTGAACACTTTTAAAGGAAAATATTTATTTCCATTGTTTAACTGCACACCACCTTGTCCGCGATGAGGCGTGGATAAGTATGATTACTTCACATTGTGCTCATGCTAACCAAAACTGGTTTTCTTTGTTATTTCACTCAAGAAGTAACTGTTAGGTCACAAATTAACTGTTGTATATAGCCCCAAAACTTTTAGAAATTTGATTGCAATTGCACAGAAAAAGACACATCTCCAAGAGTGATTTTTTCATGAATTGTTTTCAGATGAGTTCAAAGTTAAAAATTATCACTGCATCAAAGTGCAATTTTCAGCACTTTCTGGGTAAAATGCTATAAGTTTGATTAAGTAGCAAAATAAAGCTACTTCAGATAGGTAAATAAAGCTATGTAGGTAATTCAAGCTATGTAGCTAAATCTAGTGATTGTACCAGACCTGTTAAGTTGCAACTTTTTGTCTATTTCTTGTAAAAAGACATTTGTAAAAATTTGTAAATAAATAGCTTTATCAAGCAAATCTGAAAAGCTTAATAAGCTATATTGGTCGGCACGTCGATTTACTCAAATGGACCCAAATGGAAATCAAAATGGACCCAAATAGACCCAGATGGAAATCAAATGGACCCAAATGGAAACCGAATGGAATATTAAATATACAAATACAAATATTTATCATTGTATTATCAAGTTGTTACTTATTTAAAATGAAAATAATGAACTTACAAATGAAGAATATTTAGTATTCATTTCTAATATTGTATTTTAAAAATATGAATTAATTTTCTTTAGTATTCTTTAGATCAGCAAAATTATTGGGGGGGACACAGGCCCCGTACACCCCACCCCCACCCCCTGGTTCCTCCTACCATGAATACTATATAAACTGTAAAATTAAATACTTCAATTTTGTATTCAATGATATGCAAAAGTTATTAAAAATAGAAATAAAGATTCATTTTTTAAAATACAATATTAGAAATGAATAATTAATATTCTCGATTTGCAAGTTCATTATTTTCATCATTTTAAATAAGTAACTACTTGAGAATACAATAATATATGTTTAATATTCCATTTGGGTCCATTTGATTTCCATTTGGGTCCATTTTGATTTCCATTTGGGTAAATCGACGCACCCATATTGGTAATTCAAGCTATATAGCCAAATCAAGAGATTGTGCCTGGCCTGTTGACACACTCCTAGGAAAAATTAAAAAAAAAAAATAGCATATCCTCACGGAGGCATCAGGAATCCTGAGTCTACAACACTTCTTTCTTGATTTTCTACTCTGCAAATTTATCATCCAGTTTGAGATATCATGTCCTAAAGAGGTTACTTAATTCCATTTGGGCTGTTGACTGTTGGTACCTACTCGTGAAACGGTGAAGACAAGTGCCACGCTGTCTGATGATCTTACAAAGGGTCAACTTCCTACTAGAGTAATTTGAGTTGCATAAATGCAACAATCTGAATCAACGTGTATGAAAGATTAAAGTAATTACCATTTATATACTGTCTGTTACCCTCCTGAGAGAAATAAAACAACGTGAATTGGACAGTTACGCAAACCGGAAGCAAATATATTTACTTTACGTACCTCCTTTACCGAAAGATTTAAATGAATGTCGATCCCGATATCATTTCAAAATGCTCTCAATTTTCCAATAAAAATCAAAATAATTATTTCAGATACAGTAATTTATTGTTACTTATATGCTTATGAAATTTCAGTGACAAGGACAAATGGAAACACATATGTTATGATGTAAAATTAACATAAGTGTTTCATAACTACATTTAATATGTAATATCTTGTAAAACATAAATATGTAAACACTTCAAAATAATCATTAAAAACACAAAAAAAAAAAAAAAAATGAATATGACTATTTCTTCATGTTAAAACAAATAATAAGAAGAAAATTATACCAAACATGCTTTTTTTTTTGCAGTAACAGGGACTTAGACTATAATATGCTGTACCAGAAACTACACACATTTGTTAACAATTTCTTTTATGAAACTATTGTCATTAAATATGTGTCATTTTTATAATAAGTATTTCTAAAATGTTAAAGTATGTAAGTCAATTATACCAAAGGTAGGTTATTTGTTAACACAAATGCATCTCTTTTGAGAAGTACTGACTTTCAAAACCTTTTCAGATCTGCATGTGCATACTGTAGATTCCTAAATATACGCGAGGAATAAATTATCGCGTAATTACGCGAGAAGCACCACTCACGAAATAAAATTACTCGCTTTTATTTTCATGGTGCTTTAATGCATGTAAAATCTCTGGATAAATCACCCATTCGCGAATTATTGTTCTCGCGGTTTGACGCCCTTGGGCCACTTCGCTAAATTAAGTACTCGCATAAAATAAGGAATTTACAGTAATGCATAAAAATAAACATTTTCAATGTATTGTAATGGTTAAAAAGATTTTTTTTTTTTTTTAAAAAAAGAATTTTTACACAATTTTTTTAAGCAAAGCTAGTTCACACTTATACAAAAAATGAGTTCAATTCTAAATTAGAAAAAAAAATGGTTGAAAAATATTTATAATCAGAGGGTTGAGTGGTTGTGGCCAATTTTAAACTTAGTTTATTTAAATACCTCCTGCAAATGAAGAGCTCTGTATTTAAAAAACAGGAAATTGTATTTCATATCAAAGCTAGAGCATTTTGGGGGGTTTTTTTTCCTTACTAAATAATAGTTTATGGCTACAAAAATCATTTTTCTTAAGTTAGACGAATTTGTTGGGTAATTTTTTGACCACCAAATTGCACCAATTCTCTTTAAAAATGTAAAAAAAAAAGAAAAGAACCCTTCAAAAAGGATGAAATTGAGATTACACCCAAACAGAAGATGAAATTTAAAGTGACTAGAATAAGGAAAGATAATTTTTTTTTTAATTGTATTTGTTGGAATACATATACTACATACAACATTAACGCATTGTTCTTGTACGGGACAAAATTTTCATTATAATACACCGTTCCATTGAATTCGAACTGATTAGAATTTCTCTTTTCACAATTCTTGTTGTTTTTTTTTTCACACTGTCAATTCCAATCTAAAAAGCCTAAGGTATTGAATAATATAAGTAAATTTATTGTATAAGTATTCTACAGATCTACAGATTTTTAAAAAAAAAATCACATAAAAAGCCTACTACACTTTATGTGTAAGCACTAATGAACTATTCACATTTTTCTCTATAACAAAAATACAGTACATCACTAATTATTGACAAAAAAAACATAATCAATGAACAAGCAAGAACACATTTCTGCTAATGCTAAATGTATTACATAGGATATCATTGGTTTTAAATCACATTTCATCAAATATATAATATATACACTACTAAACGTATTGAAAATTCTACAAAACTTTTAAGACATACAACCAGTTGTAATTATCAACAACCTATATTTCATAGACTTTTTTATGTCTTTGCAAGGAATTTCACAAAAAAACATAATTGGTTTCATTAGAAAAAAATGTCCTCTGTGGTAAATACAGTTAAACCTTGTTATCTCAAACCATATGGGACTGAGGAAAAAAATTCTAAAATACCCAATGATTCGAGATATAGAAGTCAAAATACATGAAGAAAAAGTGTTGGGACTTTTAACCCAATTCAACATATCTATGGTATTCAGGATATTGAAGTTTGAGATAACAAGTTAAGTTTTAATTAATTACACATGTAATGAATACCAGTCCTGTAAAAATTATGACACGTATGAAGTAAATCTCACTGGTTCAATCTTGCCATATGACAGACATAACATTCAAAGATTTATAATTACAATTGCATGAATAGATTGGAAATTTATTACAATTTAATACATGAATAGTTTGGAATTTTATTACAATTGCAAGAATAGTCTGGATTTCCACAATGTTATGATATGCTTGATATCAAACTATTATTCAGTATATTCCATCAGGGCTGCATTCAAGATTGTAGCAGCTAGCTTAGCTGCTAGGCTAGATAACTAGGGCTATTGAACATGATTAAATGTATGAATTAACAATTGTTATTCATATGTAGCAGCTAACTTATCATGCAAGATTGTAGCTCTACATAGAGCTACATAGCCACTTTGATCTTGAAGACACCCCCTGAGCGAGCAATGGAAAGTCCACACTATTGTTAAAAATTCCCAAAGAGAAGGATTTTTATCTGACACTAGGGTATAAATAGTTTACACAACATTTTTATTTATTGTACAAAACATCTACTCATTGTAATTATATGTTCTGCTTCTACACAATCTTGCAATTAATCTTAGTAATAATTATTGGTCAACTATAAAATACATATAGTCCCTGAGGTGAATTGTCATTCTCACAAAAACTTTCACAAATTCTTTAAGATCAATTGATCTGATGGCATTAACTTAAGACTTTCACTGGTAAAGAAGGAATTCTTAATAAATAAAGCCTTAAGATTAAGGTGAACAATTAATTTTTACTGGTTTATAGCCACTACCAATACATCATCATACACTCAACAAGAATTATCTGCAAGAGGTTTTGTGATGCAGATTGAAACATAACATAATTAACCAATGAAATGGCATATATTAATAAGATATTCTTAACAAAATTCCTTGCTCAAAGACCTGGAAAAGATTAAACGTCTTACAGAATTTGTCATTAAGTTTCTGAGAATGAGCCTTTCCCAATAATGCTAGATTCTGAGGCAACCATACTGTAAACATGGAATGTTCATCTGGGAATAATTTTTTAAAAAATTGCGATCAGAGAAACTTCACACAAAATTTATCCCACATGAACTATTATTTGAATCATGAAACCACATTATTGCATTATACATGATAATCTTTTCCTTATTTTCAAAAAAAAATTCCTTCACAGAAGGTTTTGTAAAAAAAAAAAATTGAAAAAATGTCCATGTTTACAGTACTTTCAATACTGATGTCTTGAATTCTTCCATGCATATGCTGTATTCAGCAATATTGTGAGGATGGATTGTGATCGGTAATGCCTGTCGCTGGCGGTGGACCTTGATTTATAATGCCAAATTCTGGAGGTATACCTTGTCCCACTGATCCTCCCTCAGGTTGAAGATAATCTGCCCTAGAAAAAGGTTCAGCATAGCTAGTTTCAGAAAATCTACTTTGTTCTGTTATAGCCGTACATGATACTGGAAACTGTCTTGTAGAAACGGAGTCAAAATTTGGTTCCTGATTCCCATACGAAGTTCCAGTTGGTGGTGTTTGGTTAACACAGTTGATGCCAAAGGTTGGTTCTTGCTTTACAATAGTTGCTTGTGAATATGGATTTCTATCCTCTGCAGGAAGCTCTTTCTCCATAAATGTCTTCAGGGATGGAGATTGTCCAATGATACTATTATCTGTGAAAGAGTCTTGCTCAGAGGCTTCAGATTCTGAAAATTCCGGTTTTATTCCAGATGCTCCATTCCCAGTTTTAATGTATGACAATACTCCAAACTCTTTCAACTGTTCTTCAGCAATTTCAGACCACCTATTTCCTGCTTTCCGGTTCAGTGGACTCGGATGAGCAAGGTACTCGACCCTGAAGTCATGCAAGTTTCCATTCTTCATTACATTTTTCACACAAGTCTCCACATACCGACCTATTGCCACGACCACCTCCACTTTCAGCAGACGAATTACGTCGGTCAGAGCAGAGTCACAAATCTGGTTCAATTGATTCCGTTTTTCTGCAGGAAGGATGTCAGGAGGTGTAATGTTGCTGCCGGTTTTCGACAAGAAGGACAGAGGGCAAATGTTATGCAGAAAGCAGTGTTCGAAAAAATTATCTGGTTGTCCACATAAACTCTTGATTAGAGTCCAAAGTTTCTTGCCACTGACCTGAAAAATATGAATCAGAAGTTCTGGAAATGTAACGCTAAGGAAACAAACTAGAAGCAAAATTATATCATAGGGTACATACCTACTATACCCATTCATCTATCGTACTATTGATCATTTAACCATCGATATTTGACTACATTGTTTGGTCTTTTCAGATAGAGATGCTAGGACTAGGTCTCATTACTGGACCCAAATGCATAGAATATAAATCCCTGAACTGCATCCCCATTTTACCTCAGATCTTGTGCAATCTAATCCAAGAATGGGTCTTTTTGGATGTTCCCATGCTGGTCTTAGGATATTCCCCTGAATTTCTAACCAATCACGGACAAAGGTTCCATCTCCAAAAGGTACCTGGAAATTTATTGATAAAACATCAACCAAATCAATTTACAAGATACTTTACACAGAACAAGATTAAAAGACATACATGTAATGCACTATGAAATCAAATTGTTGAGTAATTATAGAAATGTGGTGGGACTAGCAATTTAAACAAACTTAAAGCTTCCCTTTATGCAGCAAAAACTGAGTAATTTTATCATATGGTGTAGTTTTGATGATCCACAATAGAAACTTCTACTTACTCCACTTTGAACCATTCCCCAAGGTCCTGGATTAATCCCAACAAAGAGGACTTTTTTCTCAGAGCGGCAGTATTTCCTTACAAACTCCTTGTAAGTCTCAAATGCATAAACAGAAGGGCAATAAACATGGGCAACTGGCTCATCAAAATTTAGGCCTTGAAGATTTTCACACAGCACCCTCTGATTATGCAGCAATGCATTACCAATGTCACTTAATGTGTTGTCTCTTTCAAAGTTCAGAATGGTTTGAGGTACAGTTTTTTCACTTTTGCCTGAATCCTCAGGTGTAACAATGGCTGCCCAGTTACCATAATATGGATCTGGTGGTAAAGACGGGCTTTCTTGCTGATTGGATTTTGTGTATGGTTTGGCAAGAGGTTTATTGCTGGTTTTATACTTTCCACAGTTAGAACTGTCCTCCTGGGGTTGTCCCAGATATGGATTGTTATTGAACACTTGAGATTGATAATTAAAACCTGTATTTGGATAATACTGGGAAACAAAATGATCTGTTGAGAAACTATTTGGTGTATGATTCAATGGTACAGGTCCTGGATAGTGAGTACCGGACATTCCATAGTTGGGCGGATATCCCATGTTTACCGAGCTGTTCGCACCATATTCACGATATTCAGTCTCTGGTTGTGGATAGTGTGTTGGATAAGGATAATAATTATTAGGAATACTTCCATATCCAGATCCCAGGAATTGGTTTTGTCCAGAATGGTACCTTTCTTGTGTATAGGGAATATTACTTTCCCATGATCCTTGATATTCTGGTTTCACAAAATTTTCATTTTGCTGAGACTGGTTATGGGGAGAAATGCCATCTGCATATGGCGAATACGGAAGAAAATTCCTGTTCTCCATCACTGAAACAAAACAGACTGCCTTTGGTGATGGTTGTATCTACGTTTTTGCTGTTTTTCTTCACATTCTTTTGTTGCTTTGTACTGGAGCATCACTTTGAATTATTACAAATAAATAACCTACTGTAGTTCTCCTGGTCGGTATTTGATTGGTATTCTCTTCTTTTACATTTTGCACATCTAAATCTCTCTACAAACAGGTTGATTTCTTTCTTGTAATGGACAGAAATGACTATCCATTTTGCAACCCTACTTTCACTTTTTCCAAATTTTGTTTTTGGTGACTGTTGTTGATAATTCAAGGTATTTCTATTCGTAAAATCTTATTTGAACATTTAATATTATTAATGAAGTGATTGCCAATATAATTTATTATAGACATTTTTAAATTACGAGTTTTGCATTAGAGCAAATCTACATTCGTAAACGCGAATAAATCTTATTGGTGTGTTATAAAGTGTTGTGCCGACTTAATTTTGTTTGACATATCCATATTTTGACCTTTTAGAACTTCCTGTGAACTTCAGCGTGATCGAAGTTTCTCCAAGAACAAACTATGGAAGAATATGTTCGAGATCCATGGTATATTTTAGATTGTAGATGTATTTTATGTATATTTATAAATCTTGTCGAATTCTCTTCTTTCTTCAGTGAAAGTTTCATTCATGAAGATGAAAGTCGCATATGTTGCGTCATGTTGAAGGGGGGATGGGTTGCATAACGTTATTTCATTATAAAACACGATTAATTTATCGCCAGTGAAATTCAAGTACGACATGGACATTAAATACTGGTATGTTCGTTAAAGAAAGATTTCAATTTGACATGTTTTATAGACCTAGTGTAGATTGTTGATCATAATTCTTTCTTAGTAAAGCCTAAGATGGAATAGCATTTTTGAGACAGTAATTTCAGATTTTGTATTCTATTATGAAAAAAAAATTAATGTATTAAATGTCTTTTCTCAGATTTATTCATTATTTAGATATTCTTTTACAGTCCCTACAGAATAGTTGATGATTGTGGTGGAGCTTTTGCTCTTGGGGCTGTTGGAGGAAGCGTTTTCCATTCAATTCAGGGATTCAGAAATGCTGTAAGTAAATTGTATTATTCCATTGAATATATTTGATACTAGAGAACTTTATTCATTTTATCCCTTTTTTCAATGTATTGTGCTGAAGTTAGGCTCTAAAGTAAATCCATGTTTCTTACATGTATGGTAAATTCTTTTCAACTTTCAGGCTAAAGGAACTAAATTAAGAGGTGCTTTAACAAAAGTTGTGACCAACAGTCCAAGAACAGCTGGTAAGTTTGGTAAACACCTTATAAAGTTAAGAAACTACTGACTGCTTTACAATATAATGCTACATAGCAACTATTAAATCATGATCAATGTAATACCTTTTTCTCCAAAGGAAACTTGCTATATAGTTATAATACTTTATTATAAGTTGCAGACAAAATGCTTGTCTGGCAGTCGAGAAAGAAATTTTAATAAAAACTCTATTAGCAGTAGTCATGTGAATTTTGTTATTTAAATAATGTCATTTAATTATCATATAAATGAGTCTTGTAATCAAAAGTGACCAACAGATAGTTCGTTATAAAAAAATATATTGAACGAAAATCATATACATGTAATTATGCCCATTTAATGTGATTTCATATAGAAGGTCATTTATCTTTGTTATTCACAAAATCTTGCTCCATCAGGGTTCGAAATTCACTATATACAACTCGCAAAAAGCGAGTTAGAATTCCCAAATTGCGAGTTAAAAATTAGGTAACTCGCAAAAACTTGCGAGTTGAGTTTTTTTGCATTGAAACTGTAGCAAAATGATATAATATGACAGAACACAATAATTTTGATTTAAATCAGTAATTTAAATAAAAGTTACAATGTAGTTGTATTTTGTGTATTGTACAGTAGTTACTTTTTCCTTAAGTTACATGTATTTAATTTATATAAAGAGCTAAATCCACGAAGGGGCTAAATCGGCCCAGTCATCAAAATAAATGAAACTTTCTCACATAAAACTCTAAGATTTGTATGTTGTAAAACAATTTATTTTTTAACAATATCTTTTCTGGTTTTCTTTTTACATTTGTTTAAATTTGGTATATTGTTTTCCTTATTAATACTATCACGTCATTACGTTGACGTTACATACTTTAACGTCGTGACGTTGACAGTTTGTATAAGACAGTAACATATGTACGTTAATGGAATAGAAATAACCAATATAGGCTTTTCTTTAAAATTTTGTAAAATTTTACTTTGAATTTTTCAAGAAGTTCTGAAAACTTTTGGTTTATTTTTTAATTAAAGCTATTTTTACTCTAAAGAAATGCCAAATATTTGTTATATACAACGGTTGTCTGGTATAATCTTTGATACATGTAACACGTTTTAAATGATAATAAGAGACACGTTAAGCTGAAAACAAACAGAAAGTGTTAATCCATCATATTTGAGTAAAACTGAATTAATGTAGTACAATATATACCATAGTATCCATGGATAAGGATTTTATCATTCATAAATGTGTTATTGTATGGTCATACGGCGTACAAACAAAAAATAGACGTTTTTTCCAGAAAATACACGAGTACTCTTTAATAACGGAAACATAAAATTAAAATGAAAAGTTGCATTAAAAATGAATACGTTTGAAGTTACCATCTATTTTATTGTCATTTTGAGAAATTCGTTGCACTTCCGAAATTTATGGCATTTCCCGGACATTTGAAATGAAATTGTAGTTCATACATGTAATACACGTAAAATAGTGACGTTCGACAACAATCCTGATTGTCAGGAAAGAAGCCATTACAGACTTTTAAAACATGAGTGTTGCAAAACATCAAATCGGCCGCAAAAAAATATTTTTCAACGAAAACACAAGATTTCCAAAGTATTTGAATTTCAAAACGGAACCTGAAGTTTAAAAAAAAAACAAGATAAAAGGAAATGGCATATATACCACTTTACTCAATGTAAATTAATCGAAATAAAGTTCGCTTATTATGATAAATATGTTATACATTGGCGGATAAAGGGGGGGGGGGTCCGGGGATTGGACCCCCCCCCCCCTTTATTTTTGCAGAGAGAGAGAAATTTCTGTAATATAGATAATTTAACGTCTAATATTTTGAATAAAATAAGTAGTTCAATCTCTGCCCTTTCTGCTCGCTAGATAAAGTGTCCCGTATTCCATCCTCCACGTAACTTCAGAACCTTGGCCCCGGGCCCCGACCACCCACAAGTAACATGCAAGATTTCACTTTGATATCATTGGAAGATTCCAGCGAACTTCAGCTATGCCATTTTTGGACCATCTTCTGAAGTAACTAACTTTAAAAAGTATGAATAAAAAGTCATGAAAGGGAGCATACATAAGAGACTATTATGGTGATATTTTAATCAATGAAGAGAAAGGTGTAAAATGCCCCTGTAATATGCGGGGGGAGTGGGTTCACTTTTTCTGAGAATAATCTTGTGCTGTAGTTTTAATATGCAGGTTTTGATTTGGATGCTCCCCCATTTTGTTGCTGGAATTAAGTTTAAAATATGCAATTCAAGCATTTCATTTGAAACCAAAAAAGTGCGGAAAAGTAAGAGGACACCCCCCCCCCCCCCTTACCCCGAAATAGGATGTAAGAATGTGGCGCACAGGTTGTGTTTTTTTTTTTGTTTTTTTTTTTTTTTTGTTTTTTTTTTTTGTTAAACCATTGCTACGGACTTGAAGTGTCTGTGGCGTAATTCTATGCATGAATGTTGGGGGCACCGACCTGGAACCCCCCCCCTTTCAAAAATTGCTGGATCCGCCCCTGTTATATCATCAAAGAGAAACTTTTTTTAAATACCCACAATAGATATGAAAAGAGATTTCAGATGATAAAACAATCGAATGAATTATTGCTAATTAATCGTTTTGTTATCATATTATCATATCTTACACACTCCCATGTTTGGGAATACCTATTATAAAACCCTTTTAACAAAATCATAAAGTAATGATTATCTGGTGAGAAGTGAAAATTACATTAAAACATAACAACATCTAGGACTTTCGTATAGTTCAAAACCAGTTTTAACATTTTACTCATAATTTTCATATATTTAAAATAACGTTCCGTTTCTCTGTGTGCAATTTCTAACACAACTACAAATAGATAGGCGACAATGAGTACAGAAGACGATAAAATAATCATAATATCGTATACATATTGCATATGAGATTTTGAACTTGGACGTTTTCGGATCGTTATATTACTATTTGTAATTAAACAAAAATATACGAAAAACAGATACTGGCAGTAGTAAATGGCTATCATTACAAACCGTCAAAAAAAAAAAAAAAATTATAGACCACATGTCAAAAGACATATTACCATACCCCCCCCCCCAAATACCATGTTCAAATTCCTGATCTATGAAGTTATTTACTATATAGACATCCTTTCAAAAAAAAAAAACAAATATGATAGACAGGCAAAATTACCGGTAGCAGTTATATCCGTTAATATTAATAATAATACATTCAGGATACATGGCCGTAGGAACCGGGGGGGTGGGGGGTGGCCATGCCCCCCCCCTCCCCCCAATAATTTTGCCGATATATAGAATACTATATAAAACAAAGCTACTATATGCTTGTGTCCTGTCAATAAAAACGTCTGATGCCCCCCCCCCCCTTTTTTTTTGCTTGTCAAGAAATTTGGTACATGTAGTTGATAGTGTCCCCAACGGAAAATGTATGGCTGTGCCTCCCCCTCCCCCCAACTGAAATTGCTACCTACAGGCCTGGGATCTATAATAAATTTATGCAATGACCGAGTCACGAAAAATCAATCGTTTTTTAAATAAATTTTTATCAAGGTGATTGTAAAAAAGATAACTGCTATTGAATTTATTTTTTATACTATATATACAAAGGACTTATATAACTGGCATTGTTATTTATTCACTTTACTACTTTCTTATTTAAATGGCAGCAGTAATTGGTCGAACTGTCCTACGTATTTAATGAGTGAGGGTGGGAATCCCGAAACCCCCTCCCTCAATAACCCCTGTCTTTTTTCTTTTTTTTTTTTTTGGTAAATGTAATAGTTTTTTTTTTTTTTTTTTTTTTTTTTTGCTTCTTATTTTATATCAATGCTCGAATCCCCCCTTTATGAATTTACACTACTACATTTATAAACATGCTTGCTAATCTTGGTTGCCCTCTCTCCCTTGGGCCTGTTACATTTAAGCGGAGTAACTCAAAATAGAAAGAGATGGCAAGTAGCCTCCCTTTGACATTTTTTTCATGTGTTGGCTAGGTCACAGCATGCATGCGATACTGAAATTACTTAAAACCTTAAAGAGAAGTCATTGCCTTGGTAGTAAGTTATTTGTTTATACAATATAGGACATTTTCCTGATAGAGGCCTATCACAAAAATTACACACGATCTGTAAAATCAATCTACTGTTTATTTGATTTGTCAACTCGAATTTTCTAGGTTCGGTACTTCATAACATAATTTATGTTAAGAGGTCTCGGATCAGTAAAGGTTTTCACTAATAAATATTAATTAATCTTTTGTCTTAAAATGCCACTGGCGATTTCTGAAACGCATGTTGGGTATCATGGGTATGGGTTATAATACATGTAGTTATAATAGACTCTATTGCGTAACATTAACCATTTGTATGCTGTCGATGTAGACTTCACGACATTTATGTTTTGTAAGGTGGCAAAACAATCGTTATAAATACGTCTTGGTAGTAGTTGCATCCGATGTAATTTGTTTAATATTCTAGGCTATTCCGACACGGCCACTCCGGAGAAAATACAGATGTAGCCTACATGTTTCTCGGGTGATCTCCCTTTGATTACATAGTGACCATGGTGACGAGGAGCCGGGAGTTGGAAAACAAATTCAAAGCATAAATAAATAGGCTGTCAGAGGAAATGAGAACACATTATTTTTTTTTAAGCATTTCAGCATAATGATGAGTTAAATATAGATCAGCTACTTGAAGGAAAAGTCTTGGGTCAGGACTGAGGCACGTAGTACACAAAATGTCGACATTATTGCATCTACATGCAGTCATGCTAAGCGAGAGTTTTTCGTACTTTTTTTGCACCACAACACAAAATAACTTATAATAAATATAAAAGTCGCATTTCGAATCTTTTTAATGTTTACAAAAACAATATAGAATATTTTTCTTTTCTATTAATGTAGGGTAATCCCCGCTAATTTCACTGTGTGAATCGGTGCTAAGATATTTGAATCGAACGAAAAGTATTAATTTCGATGTGGCCACACCCCTCGAACAAAATAAAAATAAACTTTATTTATTCATATTTTAATCCTCTTTTCAATGGTATAAATTTTATTTTGTTCGAAGGGTGTGGCCACAGCAAAAATTTGAACCAAAGACGAAAAAAATGCTTTATTTTGATAAAAACTAGCAAAGTGCACGTGTTTAGACGTTTTCTGTACAAATATGACGTCATCAAATAAAAAAATTGGCATGAACTATAAAAGTTTGATACCCAAGGATAATATTTCTATTGTTAATTTTCTTCTTCCCCTCAGTTTAATTTTCCTGAAAAAATAGGCCGATTTAGCCCCTTCGTGGATTTAGCTCTTTAACTTTATATGAAAATTGCAAGTAGTCTTATAAAATTGCGAGTTCACTTTGTTGGTACTCGCAATTATTTGCGAGTTGTAATTTTAGGGAGTTTCTAACCCTGTCCATTCATGGATGAATATAGATAATGATATACATGTAAACAGATACACGTATGTGGAAACGGTTTTATTTTGCAGGTAGTTTTTCTATGTGGGGTTTAATGTTTACAACTGCAGACTGCTCGTTTGCACACATACGAGGGAAAGAAGACCCATGGAACTCCATTATGAGTGGATTTACAACAGGGTTTATTTTAGCATTACCTAGTAAGTTAGAACCATGCCTGACTATTTGTGGAATATATATCTCTAGCAGGTTGGCTAAACGTGTAGATTATGAATTGTTTGACTTTTAAATTATAAATTTAAATCATCTTACCAGACTTTACAAGTCTGATTATTCTGGAAATAAAGACATGATTTAATAAATTGGAGAATTTATGATTATTCTTAATACAGTCAAACCTCATTATTTCAAACCTGATGGGACCAAGAGAAAAAACTTGCACTTTTTGAATATAAAATATTGAATATCAGAGAGACTAAAAGAAAGCAGATGATAACAATGGTTATTTCTTTTTTAGATGGTTATGCAGCTGCAACAGGTTCTGGAATAGTTGGTTAGTATTATACTGTTACTTTAGACATCACTACACAGAGTGAAGAGAGAGAGAGAGAGAGAGAGATCTTTACTATCTTTGTTGAATGCAATGAAAGATGAAAAATATTGAAGTTATTCTCAAAGTGTTATACTTACTTGTACAATGTATAGAAAATTATTTTTTATTTTCACGAGACCTTTTGCTATCTCTATTGTCCTTCCTCACCTGTGATTTTTGTTTTTTTCGCTCACCTGAGCTGAAAGCTCAAGTGAGCTTTTCTGATCACATTTTGTCCGGCGTCCGTCTAGCTGTCTGTCTGTCTGTAAACTTTTCACATTTTCGACTTCTTCTCAAGAACCACTGGGCCAATTTCAACCAAACTTGCCACAAGTATCCTTGGGTAAAGGGGATTCAAGTTTGTTCAAATGAAGGGCCACGCCCTCTTTCAAGGGGAGATAATTAGGAATTAGTGAAAAAATAATGGCATCATTTAAAAATCTTCTTCTCAAGAACAATAGGACCAGGAAAGATAAAACTCATGTTGAAGCATCCTCAGGTAATGTAGATTCAAGTTTGTTCAAATCATGACCCCCGGGGTAGGGTGGGGCCGCAATGGGGGATCAAAATTTTACATAGAAATATATAGGAAAAATCTTTAAAAGTCATCTTCTCAAGAACAGCAAAGCTATGATGAGTCATATTTATATGGAAGCATCCTCAGGTAGTGTAGATTCAAGTTTATTCAAACCATGACCCCCTGGGGGTAGGGTGGGGTTGCAATGGGGGATCAAAATTTTACATAGAAATATATAGGAAAAATCTTTAAAAATCTTCTTCTCAAGAACAACAAAGTCATGATGAGTCATATTTATATGGAAGCATCTTCAGGTAGTGTAGATTCAAGTTTGTTAAAATCATGACCCCTGGGGGTAGGGCGGGGCCACAATGGAGGATAAAAGTTTTACATAGAAATATATAGGAAAAATCTTTAAAAATCTTCTTCTCAGGAACAGCAAAGCCCAGATTGTTCATATTTATATGGAAGCATCCACAGGTAGTTTAGATTTTAATTAATTCAAATCATGACCCCTGGGGGTAGGGTGGGGCCACAATGGAGGATCAAAGTTCCACATAGAAATATATGGGAAAAATTGTTAAAAATCTTCTTCTCAAGAACAACAAAGTCATGATGAGTCATATTTATATGGAAGCATTCTCAGGTAGTGTAGATTCAAATTTGTTCAAACCATGACCCCCGGGGGTAGGGCGGGGCCACAATGGAGGATCAAAGTTTTACATAGAAATATATAGGAAAAATCTTTAATAATCTTCTTCTGAAGAACAGCAAAGCCATGATGAGTCATATTTATATGGAAGCATCCTCAGGTAGTGTAGATTCAAGTTTGTTCAAATCATGACCACCAGGGGTAGGGTGGGGCTGTAATGGACTATCAAAGTTGTACGTAGAAATATATAGGAAAAATCTTTTTCTCAGGAACAGCAAAGCCCAGATAGTTCATATTTATATGGAAGCAACCACAGGTAGTGTAGATTTAAATTTATTCAAATCATGACCCCTGGGGATAGGATGGGGCCACAATGAAGGATCAAAGTTTTACATAGAAATGTATAGGAAAAATTTTAAAAATCTTCTTCTCAGGAACAGCAAAGCCATGATTGATCATATTTATGTGGAAGCATCCTTAGGTAGTGTAGATTCTATTTTGTTCAAATCATGACCCCCGTGGGTAGGATGGGGCCACAATGGAGGATCAAAGTCTTAAATAGAAATATATAGGAAAATATCTTCTTCTGAAGAACTGCAAACCATGATTAGTCATTTTGATATGGAAGCATCCTCAGGTAGTGTAAATTCAATTTTGTTCAAATGATGACCCCCAGGGGTTGGGTGGGGCCCATTGGGGGATCGAAAGTTTTACATAAGAACATATAGAAAAAATATGTCTTCTCAAGAACAGGAAAGCTATGTTTAGTCATAATGATATGGAAGCATCCTCAGGCAGTGTAGATTCAAGTTCAAATGATGACCCCTGGGATAGGGAGGAGCCACAATGGGGGATCAAATTTTTACAAAGGAATATATGGGAAAATTTTTAAAAAATCTTCTCAAGTACAACAAAGCCATTTGTTATATTGACATGGAAGCATCATCAGGTAGTTTAAAATTCAAGTCCCCCCCCCCCCCCCCCCCATCTCATCAGTATAGTATAGAGCTACATTTCCGAATTATACATAAAAAAAAAATAATGTCCTCAGATTTCTGTCAAGGTCTATGGGCCTCTTGCTCTAATTTGCTACTTAAAAAAAACTCTTCCTCTTGGTTTCTTATGACCTTGTATGATCAGAAGAGGACTTTTTTCATTTCAGGGGGAATATTACTGGGAATGATAGAGGGGATTAGTCTGATGATGAACCGCTGGGCCGGAGAGGAGGCATACAGAGGTAAGTGGGGGTCATACCTGTGAATATCCATGCTAAAGTCCATGTAAATGTTGTAATAGGAAGGGAGTCATAGTTCAATACATAGTGAACAACATGTTTAAAAGCCATATATGTGATAATAAAATTCATCTGTAAAATTTGAAAGTTTAAAGTAAGAATGTAACCATAACCATCCTGTCCCCAACTTTTAGTTGGCCCCTTTAAAATTTCTAATATAGGTGATATCGTGCACAGTGTATATAAAGGAGTGCTAGGAAAATCATTAACATGTTTACATATTCTTTGATAAAATGCAATTCTAACTTGAATGTGTCCAGACTTTGCAAACCATTTCTAAACTATACATGTAGACGATTATTTCATATTCTTTCAGAAAATTCAACTTTGAGGTGAATCTTATGCTTAAAAAATTTCCTTTCTAAGTTTTTATTTTTGTTGAATCTTTAAAAGCATATTGTTTATACATGTAATGAAATTTTAATTTTGATGTATGGTATATACAGGGTTAGAAACTCCCTAAAATTACAACTCGCAAATGATTGCGAGTACCAAGAAAGTGAACTCGCAATTTTCATATAAAAGCCTTTTTAAGATTAAATACATGTAACTTAAGGAAAAGTAACTACTGTACAATACACAAAATACAACTACAGTGTGACTTTTATTAAAATTTCTGATCTAAATCAAAAGCATTGTGTTCTGTCATAGTAAATAATTTTGCTACAGTTTCAATGCATGTTTTTTTTCTCACTTTATCTTGATAATTCAACTGTAATATGAGGAATTAAACCTAGGGTACTGTATTTATACATCTATTATTATAAAGTGACAAAGTTCTTACAAATTTTATGATAGAGTTTCACAAATAAGTCATTCACAACATCCCAATTATTTTTGAAGATTTCAGATAAAACGAATTATCGTCATTGTTGGTGTTGTTCATTTGTTTTCAGAACCCTCTTCCAACTGCCGTTAAAACAAAAAAATAAATAAACTAGCCATGCTGATATTTAAAGAAGGGGGATATAAAATACATAACCAAAATGAAAACTATAACCAAGAAGGGATTGATTTTTTTCCCAAGGAAAAAAAAACAACTCGCAAGTTTTTGCGAGTTACCTAATTTTTAACAAGCTATTTCGGAATTCTAACTCACATTTTCGAGTTGTATATAGTGAATTTCGAACCCTGATATATGAAAAGCATTGAAATTACTTTTGTTTTGTTGTTTGCACATAAATAAATGCACTGAGCAAGATGTAACAGGAATGTATATCATCATTTCATCATCTCTTCATCAAAATTACACAAAACAAATAATGGGGGGGTCCATTACAACCTGTTTAGCTTCCTTTGAAGTTGAATTGAGACAAATCAGAATATAAATGAACTGATTGATATTTTATTTTTCTTTGCAGAAAACGATACGAATAGAAGGCTGTTTGAAGACCCCACCGCTGAACCCCCGCAGCCCGAGGCTCCCTCAATAAGCTCTGTGTTTGGAATGTTTGGCCCTCAGACTCAGACAAGTCAATGATACAGCAGTGCTAGAATTTTAATTTAAAAAATATAGAACTTGTTTTATATTTCACCACATTTTCATTCATTTTCATCATGCTCATCATGTTTTTGGAGAACATCTTTTTCAGTGGATTCTGAAAAATTGTGATCTTTTCAATACTGTCAGTGAAGAATTTCACAGGAACCCAAATATGACATTGTGAAAGTGTGGTATGATATTGGAATACTATGGTTCCCAAGAATGTGTTTGTCTTCACTTTTAAACACAAGTTATGGTATGTGTTGGGACATGGATCTTGCAAAGGGATGACTCAAGGTCATTGTGTGCAACTGAAAATGCTTGAAGAAGGTTATCATTTGATCACACAAATTTTATTTTCATTATAAAGATCTGAGTCTAAAGTAACAATATGATATCGTATGAATCAATTCCAACAATTTTCTATATTATCAAGAAACAATTACCTGTGTCATGTGATTCAGGTTTATTTTTGTTTTACTTTGATGGTTACCTCCCTTAGGATATAAAACGTTTGCTGTATTTGTATGACGTTGTTGTTGGTTTTGAAACATTAAAAAATAATGTACAAAAATTAAATAAAAAACTGTAAAAGAG